GATCTGAAGACAACTTGGGTCCACACGAGTCCGCGCAGAGCGCACGCCTTGAAGTGGGCGCGCTAGGCAAACCAAGCTCCTGCTGGGTCCACCAGCTAGGTGCCGTTTCTCTCCCGTTTCTTTTTTGGTTGGGAGGGTTCCCCTACTAAATAGACTCCGGAAAAAGTTGGTACCCGAACTCTAACTTCTCTACTGGAGGACCTAGCCTGTTTGTTTCTGGCGGTTCCAGTTTTGCTTCTGAGAACCCGACGTTCGGTCAAACATATCCAGTAGTTCATTGTGCATTTGGGAGGGACTGCTGCAGACTCACTAAAGCTCACAAAATCCAGGAATCAGGGAACTACAACTTTCTCATGTCCTTCATCTGCTTTGTTTGAGCGTGGTGGCTCACATGGATTCTGAAGCAAGGGTACCCCAAAACGACTCAACATGGATTTGCGGAGGTTTACCCAGTGACTGGTCCCTTCAAAGCGAAAAGGCTGCAGCTCCGGTGGTTCAAATTAGGATTTGCTTTTGTTCCCCTTTCAGACACCCAACAACCCCCAGAAAAAGAGACCCGTTTGGCTAAGGGTCCCCTCATAGGTTTCATGGCGATTCCCTCTGGACCAATGGACCCAAATGCTTCCGTATGGAGGTTCCTTGGAAGAGAAGAGCTATTCTCGCTCCTTCCAAGTTGATGTGGGTGGGACCCCCAAAATGGGCAAAAGGGGGGGTCTCCCCTAAGCAAAGACACACCCATGTTCAGCATTCTACTTTTTTGACTGGCCCAAGGTAGACTTAAACCCAGAGGTTTTGCTTTTAGGGACATCAACCACCCCTGGGATTAACTTGTTTTGGGGGTAGTCAAAAGGTAGAGCCCTGCCCATGTTGTGAACGCTACCGGCAGTTGAACTGGCCCCGGTGGGCCAAAACGGCGTGGGCTCGCTTGATCACTGGCTGGCTTGTTCGTTCGCTCGCTTGTTTTCTGAATTCGTGTCTCTTATGTCTTCATGGAGTCTCCATGACCCTAAAAAACGGGGGCATTCCCCAAAATTCAGGGGTCATGAACCCATTTGTAAAGAGTCATGGAGACTCCAGGTTGCTTTAGTTGTTGCGGCGTTGTTTCTTCGGATGTTTTCGCTTGTGCTTTCCCCCCCTTGCGGCGTCAGGACTTGCTGACGGCAGTCGCGCCAAAGATCCAGCCGGCCGGGGCGCCCTAGAATCCCATGGGCACATTCGCCTGGTTGCTCGAGGTTTTCATCATTTACCTGGTTTGAAAGTTGACCCCAGATCAATAAACCCTTCCTATTAGTGGGGGGGGTGTTTGGTGTTCCTTCCAACAGCCCGCTAAAAATGGGACGCTCCTATTCATCAACCAGGGCTTCATCAATCCAGGGTTCCTGTTCGGTGCTAATCTTGGGGTGATCGGAGCCTCGGAGGAACTTTGCTCCGTCCAGTCCAGGTGTGCGGAGCATGTGGTTTTAATGGTTGTCACTTTCAGTGAGTCCTTGAAAGACTTCACTTGCCCAAGTTGTCATGATTGGATGGCCTGGCCACAAATGCAACTGTCACCGTCTTTGACCTATTCAGCGGTGCGTTGCCAAGCCATTAGTCATGAGTTTCCAGGAATCGCACCGAGGACTGATCATTGTCATTTGCAGACAGCCCCCACATATGTCTGACCAAAACAAGGGATGAACGCTGGAATCCAAAATCTGTGTGGAGGGTACGTTGTCATGTTGCTTTAAAGGAGAAGCCAAGAGTAAAGTCACCATTCTGAGACTTGACACGGAAGCCGAAATAGAAGATGATTTTGCCAAGGAAAGTGGGGAAGGAGCGATTCGCTAGTGTTCCTCTCTGGCGTTGTTTGACGCGACAGCATAATGTTCGTTGGGCCGTCAAAGACTGACCGGGGTCTGTTCGAACCAACAAGGCTAATTGTGAGTAAGTCCCAAACTCTAGTTTGGTGATGGTATTGGAAAGGGCATGCGAGAGCCCCCTTTCGCGACTTCCGGGGCCATGCAAGGTCCCTGGTTTCGGCAAATAGCCAGTTGAGCATAAAGCTTGGCTGCGACTCGCATGACATGAGGGACCTGCAAACAAAATCGGCTTTCCAGAGGTACATGAGCCGTCTACAGTCCCCGCTTGCTGTAGCCCAGGGAACGGCGGTGGCGCACTCACCGAGTTCTCATGTTGTAGGGAGACGCAATGACCGAGCAGTGTGGTCGCTCCGCGCAGGATTTCAAAATCCCCATGGGCCATTCTCGGAGTTGCCGGCCGGATAGCTTTCTCACTCCCTGAATGGCTCCATGAAGGAACCATCTTCAACTCAGCAAAAGAAGTTCCTGCGTGCGGGTTTGATTCTTGACCGTTGACCTACACATTTTTTCGAACGAGAACCAGCTAGGCCCGAGAGACCGGCATCCCCGTCTAGATCTTCGGACTCACGCGCGCCCTCCAGGAACACGGGAAATGCAAATCGGCTTCGGACCAGGAGTTGCAGCCGCTCCAATGTTTGCGTGACCCGCGACTACGGTGCAGCCGTGCAGAGGTGCATCCAGCGTCACAACGACGGCGGTGGAGAACTGTGCCAGCAGTGAGCGTCCTCAGTAATTCGAAGCCCCGGGCAACGTCAGCGTTGGCACCACCTCAAACGTGCAGCCCATTGTTTTTGTCGCAGAGGACCTGCTATTGCTCTGTATTGCAAGCCACGGTCTGCGCCCGGCCAGGCATTGTCATGCCTCTTCTCCCGCCGTTACCCCTACAATCAACCACATTGGTCGTACCTTGGACCTCTAACTTGAGTGATTCTTTCCCAAGCAACAAGTTCAACTCTTTGGGGCCGGGACAACGCCCCAGCGCCAAAAGTTTCGGCTTGAGCTTCACGTCTTCGGGAGACCTCGCCAGCGGCGAGACGAGAAGCTGAGGAGTGGAACATCACTGGCCCACTGCGGGCGATGGAGGTGATCGATGGCCTAGCAAATGTCTACAGGCCCGGCTTTGGGACGATCCGAGCGACCGCTAGCCCCAGGGCCTTTTTCTGGGTGGTTCTACGAATGTGGAGAAACGTGTTCTACGTGTTAAAAGGGCGGGGTGTTCAATCCAAAAGTGATGAATCGCTGAGGTCCGGGAGAATAGGGTGTCCACACACCTCCCTTCTGTCCCAAATCAGCTCCTTAAGTTGCGTCAGGGTTCGAAGGTGGGCCATGGGGGAATCCCAGGATGCAACAGCTTTAGGTTGCCACTTTCTGTGACCGTTTCAATTCCAGACGTGGGTCCAAGGGAAATCATTGGGGCCCCAAACCAACTTTTCCGAGTTAGCTGGAATTTCCAGGTCCATTGCAAGTGAGCCGAGCCGTGATCGTTTCCAAGTGCCTGAAATCCGAGGAGTGTCTTTGTTTCGCGGGTGAGCTCGAACGTGGATGCAGCCCAAGAGTCGCAGTTTCCGCAAGGGAGCCAGGGCATGCAATCCCCATGGAGACACCTGGCGATTCCATTTTCTGATTTGGGTAGCCAGGAAAACGGTGCAAAGTCTAGAGGACCCACAAGAGCACCCACTTCAGTCGCAAATGGAACTGGCTAAGCCGCACTTGCCGAACAAAGACCCGCTTCGAGTCCATAGGTTCCCAGGAGAAGAGGGCCACAAAAGACCTCTCGAGAGCGACTGGTTGAGGGCTCACTTTTTGCCTGGGTCTGTCTTTTGTTGAGGGTACCCTTCTGAAGTAGTTCAAGATGGAATTTACAGGAACATATTTTGGTGGGGGGGGGGGGGGGAGGCTGTTTTAAGACACACCCATGTCCTGAAAGCGCAGGAACCATGGTTGGGCCAAACCGTTGAAACACAATATGTTTGAACCATGCTGCTGTTGAAAGCCATTGTTTGTTTCTTAGAAGAGAACAAACGTAAAGTCGCGTGATGTCCTTAGCCACATGAAACCAACGCCTCCCATGTGGATGGCTCGTCTGTTTTTTTCGAGGCTCGGTGCCCCTTGTGTATGGTGTGAAGGGGACACCCAAAGGACAACGGGAACCGTTGCGCCAGTTTGTCGCGGGGACGGGGGTCAGCATGCAAAAAGACGAGCCCGTTTGGATTTGCTTCGACACGCTGCGAGACTGGTGAAGCCGTTTCCAGAAATGGCATGCTCCCATCGAGGGGGAGATCCGGATCGATGGTGCAGGCCCCAGACCTTGCTGCGGACCCTGCACTGCTACGGCAAGTTCAATATGCTCTATCACTGCATCCGCGTTGAGGCCAGGTGCCGTCATGTTAGCTCCAAATAATAAGGATCCCCCCTCCCCCACCGCAAACAACAAATGGGGGGGGGGTGAAATTTGGGTATGATGTTTTGGATGACCCAACAAGAGACATCAGGGGGATCCCCGGTGTTTGTCTCTGGGTGCCAAAGGGGAACCGAGGGGATCATGATTTTGACATATTTTGAGCATCCCAGCAGCAGACTTCCGCTAGCCGCTCGCCGCCCTGGCCGGGCTGTGAAAGGGCAAGGTTGCGCGACTCCCACTTGCCTTGTAAACCCCGGATGAAGTTAAACCCATGGTTGATTAATAGGGGGAGTCCGCTTTTAGTGGGGATTCAGACCACTTTTGGAGGGAACACCCCCCTAATGGGACGGGTTTATTCATGGTCAACATTAATTACACCCATTCTCGGTTCCAAGTCCATGGTGAATTCCCTCAAGCCAAGGAGATGGATCGAGATCGATCCGAATCTTCGGAGCTTGTCAAGCTCTGTTGGCGTATTTCCCAACATGGTCCATCCCAACTCGAGGTGGCCCGTCTTTTTTTGAGTTGGTCCTCCTCCGGGTGGTTTTGAAACAGAACAAAGGGAAAACCGTCATTTGGGAAGGCCCGATTCCTACAGAAAGACATACCCTGTGGGTACGAGTTGTGGGTGGTACCAAATATATCTATAGCATCCTGTTTGCGACAGCACGTGGCTTGGGCCCTGAGTTTGGGCTCACAGTGAACCATGCCATGGTCAAAAGGCTGGGGGTGGTCATGGACCTCTTGAGGAATATCGACAGCCATGACAAGAACTTGTTTTAAGGAACCTGGGGTTGGTCCTGATGGTCATGCACCTGATCCGCAACAAGACAAAACATCAGAAGTGGTTCCTGACAAAGCTGTGACCCAATGTATGGAGGGGGGTGCCCTTCCGCCTTTGGCGATCCACCGGATCGCGTGGGGTCTGTGAATGAGAGACCCCCCCAGACGGTTGTGCTTTCCATTTGTTTCCACTTTCCTTAAAAAGACACGCCCAAGTGGGCCCAAGGGTTTGACAGCGCGTACTTGGAAGATATAGGTTCTCGAGGGGTGAGCCCTCTATAGAACCCAAATGACCCCAGGGCCCTGAGTGCCCTCGAGTAAGTAGGGCCAAAATCTGGTTTCCAGGGGAATTTGATCGCAAAACTTTGGGAATCCCACACTGAAGTGTTGAACCAGGCTGGGGTTGCCTTTCGTTTCACCCAACACCCAATACGCCACGATTGGTTCGCGCAAGGCGGATCCCGGTGCCGGGATGCCTCCGGACGGGGTGTCGAGCGAGTCAGATGGCATGTCAATCCTTGCTGGTGCGATAGGTAGGGAATGACAACGAGTCCGGGTGTCGGGAATGAATCGTTTGGGAATGGCGACTCACGGAAACCAAATCAGGGATGGTTTAGAGGGGTCATTCCATTTCTCATTCTCTGCTGAGAACCAGCAAGACTACTTCCAGGCAGTCTATGGTCCATTTGGGAGGCACATAGGGGGAACTTCTGAACTCCGCACAAAAAAACAGGGAGACATATTGATTGTCCATGTATGTCATGTAGAGGAAGTCATATATTTTGAGACTGACCGTGGTCCATATTTTCGAAGTGCGATGATCCATGTGGTATTCTTCCCCGGTTTTCTTTTTTTGTTCCCCCCCCCCGAAGTGAGATGATCGTGGTTGGCTTGTGTGCCGAAGTGCTGGACTTGAACGGTTTATCGAGCAAAGCGAGCTTACAGACCCGTTTCTTCTTTAGCTCCAAACCAAGCATCGAAGGAGAGTTGGTCAAACACATGGGTGTTGCCTGAAGTTTGCTCTTCGAATTTGGCTCACCTTGTCTTCCTTTGCGACCATCCTAATTCGGTCTGGGTGCCAGACCTATCGCTTCTTGATTTCGAGGGATTGGAGTAGTGCGAGCTTGGATGTTCCACAATGTGTTTGTAGGAAGCTGTTGTGTTTAAGTGTTGCTGTGGGTATCGAAGGGAAAGGCCAAATCGCGCCCCGAACCAGCGGGCGTCGAGGAGAGTGGTTTGCTTTATGCATTCAACGGGCCGAGTTTGTTCAGTCAAGGTCGCACACCGCAGGCTTTTCCCCACACAAAGGAGATCGAGATCTTGTACATGGGAACCGTTAGGTCGGCGCCCCAATTCTCACACATACCCTAAGATCAGCGGTCGCTGGGTAAAACTTGACCCAGGATCCCTAGAGATGGGTTCCTCGTTCGGGCTATGGAAACTCTGGCCACTGGCTCGCCATGTCCAGCCGGGATTTCGTGTGCAAAGCCAGGAAGACATGGGAACGGGTCGAGAGATGACCGCTGTTCACTTCTCCTGGCCTTTTTTTTTTTTTTATTTCCTTTCCCAGAGGCTCCTGGGGCTTTCAATGGAAGACCCGCCCCCTCCATTAGACACCCCGGAGGTGGTTGGGGGTCTCAAAACCAGGTTGTTTGAAGGCCCTAAATCAATCGGGAGTGTTTGGGTCTACAAAGCTTTCCAAGGGAAGCCCACATATCTTCAGAGGTGGTGTACCGTGATTGGGTTTCGTTTTGGTTTTACAAACATCACCTACCCTGGAGAGCGATCATATTCCCCAGCAAGTATCACACAGATCGCAGCTTTGCGAGGACAACCTAGAAGCTCATCTACAGCTTTAGTTTGTGTTTTTTCGAAGGACACTACAAGGGAATGGATCATGTGAGCGTCACGCGAGACGAAGTATGATGAGAATGCCAATCATAATAAACGCAATGTCCATTGATTGTTTCCAGACACTGCGAATCATCCAACCAGGACCAACATCTGGTGGAGGTTCACCACTGCGACCGCTCCAGCCAGCAGGCACATGATGAATGCTTGGGCTTGATGGGGGGGCTGGCGCCCAAAGTGGGCCACGGGGTTTTTATTTGTGCTCATTTTACTTGGAGGGGGCGCTGTTTCATTCTAGCTGCCAAAGGTCCCAAGCTGCAAGTCGAATGAACCGCCATCCTTGCGGCTTTTGGCATCGCATCCTTCTCCCCACTCGCGTCTTTACCATTTGAAGACAGACATTCTAAGCTAAGCTCGAAAGCCGAGAAAAGAGCAAAAGTTCAGGTTTATTTAAGGACAAACTATCACAAGGTCCCACCCTGGACCGCTCCGCTGTGTTTTTTTTCTCCAGTTCGGGAAATCTCAAACAATTGACCAATCCGCAGGACCACACCCCAGGGGAATTGGAATTGTCCGAAGGCAGGGGACGGGACAAAACCCAATTTTAAACATCGGTTGATCTCCCTGCTATGATTTGTCCGAGGGTAGGGGTTGTGCCTTTAACTCTTTCTGTGATTTTGGGGGAATTCATTCATAGCAGGCGATATGAATGAAGGGGGTTTGTGGAGATGAGACACGATTGACATGTGGTGGCTAAAAGACAGATATGGACCAAGGAGTATACAGTAAATGTGTTCATAAGATGGGGCCTGTCAGAAACATTTCTTAGATGGGACTTGACTTGCAGACACCCAGAGCAACAAGCAGTTGCTGCTTACCATGTCCGCGCTATTTCCTTCACACAGTACACCCGCATCAATCGGTCTGTCACCCCACTGTCTCCCTCCTGCCCGTGGTACTGTACCAATTCCACCAAACAAGTTGTTTCTGAAAGAAACCCTGGAACGAAGCATTGGAGAATCGAGATTTGAACTCAGAACTCTCCATTGGTATTTTTCGATGGCACGGGCAAGAACTTCTGGAAAGATGAGGTAAGTGTGCCAGCTCCCTGGAAATGTCGAAATAGTCTTGAAGAACATGTAGGAATATGGCCCCCCCTTGCAGCATGAATCCGTTACTCAAACTTGGCAAAGGGTCCTACTGCCAGGTGCCAGGTGTCAACGAACATGAAAGGAATGGTCTTGTCGTTTGGCCAGGAAATTCGATTGTCTTTCAAGGCAGGACATCTCTTTTCCAGTGTATTCGGAAGTGATTGGGACTAAGGTGAGTCAATCGGGAGCCCAAAGCGATCCTTGGCCCCCAGCCATCCGGTTCGTTGGCCTTTTTGGTTTTTGAGTTGGTTTGGTGATGGCTTCCGAATTTCACCCACTAAAGTGCTCAAACGACCATCACCGTCGAAAAAAAGCAAACTCCTGGAAGGAGCCGATGTCTAAGACGGGCTGTGCAGTGCCAAGCAAAGTTGCGCTGCAGCATTTCAGGGGATCAGAGGCCAGGCACCAGGCCGCGCTAATTACGCGAAGCCGACAGGCCTTTGGCCAGCCTTTGTTTCTTCCCGCTGCCGGGGTCCCCGAGGAGAAAAACAAAGCGGTTGGCTCGCGGCGGTTTTTTTTTGGGGGGGGGGGTGGGGGGTTTCCTGTTGGTTTCCCTGTAAATCCACAACAAAGTATTGAGTTTAATTGGATCAAGATGTCCAAATACATGTTGAAGTCAGATTGTATCCAAATGTTTATAGCCTCCAAAACAGACAGCTCCAACAAGACAGACCCAAATGAGGATTTTTAGGCAACCACCTTCACAGAACCCCCTCTTTGCTAGGGAGGTCTTCGTGCGCTCAAAGGCGACAACCGTCTGGGAACTTGCCTTCACCTTGAGCCGAACAGCTGGGGTTAACCCGAAGGGGCCTGACTTGCGCTTGCATTTTCCAACTGATAAGTCACCCAAGTGGTGGGGCAAAGGACTCACCCAAGTTTCTCACTTTAACCCATCCCCCCCAGAAGCAGTCAAAAATGAACCCGGTCCAAGGTTGTTGTTTTGCAAAGCCGCAGTTACAACTCATCGTTACAAGCAACTTGGGGAGGGGGCGTTGAACACTTCAAGTTGCGGACACCAGCAATGGGCATCACATTTTGATTGGAGTGCTTCTCTGGTGATCTGATGCTGAAAGATGTCCACTACTTGGTGGCTTGGATTGTTGGTTTGGTGGTCCGGGGGTAGCTTCAGTTTCCAATTTACAGGCTGCAAGAACCAGGGGGTCAAATCCCCAAACCACAAATTCCAATCCCAAATTTACGGGGTAAAGGGGATCGACCGGATGAAGAAGGAAAACGAATGACGTGTTCAAGTAAAGGGAAAAAGACGCGCCTCCAGACCAATTCGCCAGCGATTCATATCTGACTCATTTCGCGAGGCCTGTTTCCGAAGACCTGCGAGGGGCTCCAACTGATTTGCTTGGCCGGGTGCGTGGGTTTCCCATGGTGGCCACATGGTGCTTGGCTGGTGCATTGGTATGAACCCCTGCCGGACATGTCCGCCGAAAAAAACACACCCATCACTTTTGTGGTCTCAAACAGCTTGGTTGCTCTCTGGCGTGACTAAAATACACTCTTGTTCGCCAACATGGAACTTGACTGGAGGTCCCAAGACCATGTTCCTTAGGACATCTTAGGACCTTGTGGGTTTCATAGTGGGCAGCCCGCATGGAAGAAATACCATGCAGCCCAGACAGGAGCTTGTTTCGGTGGGCTCATGTTTGTTGCATCACCTACTTGCTGCCTACCTCGCGAGTGTCTGGTCCCTTCTCTGAAAGTGAGGGCCTAGTTCAACTGGTCCCGGGCAGTCAGCTGAGACCCACAGACAACGAAGATGTTTTTGTTTTTTTTGGGGGGGGGGGCGTTCTGCTCATTTGTTCATGTTTAGGGTCTTTGCCAAAAGGAGCTTCCTCTAAGAAGTGTGCTTTTGTTGTCGAGGTCGATCTTTCCATGGGAAGGGCTTGACGAGTATCGTACCGAACTCCCCAGCATCGCTCAGCTGAGGCGCCCGGAGAAAAGGTCGGGAGCTTCAAGTCCCGCTGCAAGGAGCCGATTTTTGCCACGGCGGAAGCTGGGTCTGCGGCCAAAAAACATACACCAGCGTAGACCCCAGATAGCAAAAATGTGTTGTCATTCCATGAAGCCACCAGAAACCATCCAGGGACCTGTCCAGGGTTTGAAAAAGAGCCGCAGGATTTCGTCCTCGGCGCCATTTGCCAGGCTTCCATTTGGAATGCTGTTTGACCCAACCTGGAAAAAATCCTCAGTCAGCAACAAACTCCCATTTCTGGCCCCATGGCAAATCAAACCAATATTTGTACGTACGAATTATTAGGCTCCCATGGTTACAATAGGGCTACTGAGAAGTTCAGTGTTGGGAAGCCTCATGTGCGCATGCCCATTTTTAAGGGAACCCAGACTCACATGGTGGTTTTCCTGTCGGTTTCCCTTTACAGCCACAAACAAAGGGGTACAATTGAAAAAGCACGCCCATATCAACTTGTGTTCCCTCCGTCGCTCCCTCCCTCTCCCTCCCTTTCTCCCTTCCTTTTTTTCTCCATCCCACTAACATAGCACTTGTCAGGAAGATGGTGTCTTTTTAACGGTAACCCCCATGCTAAGTTTAAAATAGGGAAGCCAACCCATCCCATGGGCATCTATTTAACAGCCATTGATGACTGGTTCGGAAAAGTAAACCTACTTAGGTTTGTTGATCACCAAGTAAGTCATGCAGACCAGGACAGGGTTACTATATATGTGGCTCCACCAGGGTGTCAGAACCTAGGTAGGTTGACCATTCAGGTTGGGGTTTGCAAGACAACACGCCTGCCTTTTTGGGATTGCACACCTCGCCCTACCACACTTAAGGGACACCTCGAAGCCATCCACTCGGTTCGCCGGGGTATTTTTCCAAGGGCTGTGGTTTTCGGGGTGCATAGAAATGCCCTAGCTCATGGCAGATCCGGAATTCCAACCACACTCATTGGCGAGAGAAATTCTTTAGGCTTCAAACACCAAATGGTAGAGTCTCATTTTTAGGGGTAGTAGGTGCGAGGTGAGGGGGGGCGGAACATATTCTCACTTCCCCAGTGCATGGGCTTGAAACGTTGTGGGAAGACAACTTTTAGAGGCAGGCCAGTCCGCTCAGGAAGTGAGTATGTACCCTTACCCTTGTCATGGTGTTCAACTGTTTTGGAGCATTTGTTCGTTGGAAAGCGGACTCGCCTATGTCAATGTTCAAGACACTCACGTTGTTTTTCCTCAAACGTGGCCAAGATGAGTAAAATAGTTTTCAGTTGTTTCCACCCCTAATCCACTATCCCCAATGGTGTTGCGTGTACGTTTTCTAGGGCCATAATCTCGCGGGTTTGGTGTGGAAGCCATTTGTTTTTTTTTGGGCACCCTCGAGGCTGTTTTCCCTTCGTTTGCTCTTCAAAACCACCAAAATCCTGGTACCCCCCAAAAACAGACACCCATTTAGACTTTTGACCACTTGAACCTTTGTTTTTACTTCAGACACCCTCCTCTCTCTTCCTGCAGGATCGATTGGGTGTTTCCGAGAATGAGTTCAAGACCTGGAGGCGACTCGGTTTTCGGTCGACTGTGTTTAGTGCTTAGAAGTTCGATCTGCACCTCATAAGTCTCCACAGAGGAGACGAACTCATTAGTTGATGGGTGGTTTGGAGTTGGATTTGATAGACTTTGGCCTACTTTTTGTTCCTCCGAACTGAGCAAGAGGTGCTGTTTTTCTCCCCTATGGTTTGCTCTTAGACCTCAGGTTACCCTTCATGAACTCTTAATTGGTGGGTGGTTTGGATTTCGTCTTCTATCGGTGATCAACAATCCTTTGTCATTCTGCAAAGCACACATCAAACAAATCAAGTTCTGATTGACTCTTATTTGGTTTGGATTGATTGGTGATTTGGATTTGGATTTGACGCCCGGGCCTTTGTAGAGAGTAAATGTGGTTTCCCACCCCCCAATCCCTAAGCCAAACCACCAATTGGGGAGATGCTGATTACATCGTTCTAGTGCATAGAACGATGTGCAATGCTACGATTCTGCAATCTGAATTGAGGCCCCTTTGTTGGAGCGCTCATCAATGAGTGAGCTCGTTTCAACCCGAGGGGAGCTTTCTACAATAGCGCAGATAACTGTAACGGGCTGGGGTCTTGGTTTGCTATCCTTACTTGGGATTCCGGAAAAAGTGGGTCGATGATTTGGCTTGTTTGTTTGGATGTGTCAAGAACAAAAAACTCCGATCGCAGGTGTTGGCATTCACAGGGGAACCATCATTCCAGGGTTTCTTAGGTGTTGAATGTGTAGACTTAAAAGGGATTAAGACTTCTCGATGGCCGGTGTTTGCATGATTTTCATGACCCTCAAGGGTATAGGGTGTCTTTTTAGGGGTTCCGTAATGTCATTGGTTATTGGTTTCTCTTCACACCACACCACGTGCCCTCTAAAACAGAATGCGCTCAAACTCTACGCTGAAGATATTTTTCTTGCCGGTGCGCAGCAGGGAATGAGTTGGGATGACCCCTATACACCATCCGATTTGTTCGGGAATCCCCAGAACCGGTTCATTCCCCACAGAAATGGGTCATTCCCTACCCTTTGGTGCATTCTGCTTGGATGTTAGGACTTCAACTTTTGGTCAACGAATGGGTTTTCCAGTAGACCACTAAGAGTTAAACTTGGAGGGCCATTTTTTTTTCGTTTTTTTTTAGGAATTATTTTTGTTTTTCAGGGTCGGTGGCTTTTCGGCTTTTTGGCTTTTGTGGCTTTTACGTGGGTTTTTGTGGCTTTCGTGGCTTTTCATTTCGCATCATCTGCATTCACAGTTCCTCTCTTTTCGCATCCTCTGCATTGCCAGTTCCACTGCGGCAGGTGGCTTTTTGGCTTTTTGGCTTTTTGTCTTTTTGGCTTTTGGCGGCTTTCTGGCTTTGGCTTTTCGCATCCTGATGCTTTTCCAGTTGGCTTCCTGCATCCTCAGCATCGCAAGTTCCTCTCTGGGCCCCCCGCCCCCCTTTCGATTAAAATGCACGCCTATTTGAATCATCACTTTTTCGATCATCATGCGACAGCTACTTTTTAGATTCTTTGCCCCTATTTTTTCGATCATCATGGGGGGGGGTGCCGTTTTACAGGGATTAGTTTGCCCGTATTTGAATCCTCACTTGTACCATGAGGCCTTGCCGCAGAGGAACTGATGACCCCCCTGCTGTTTTTTTTTCTTTTTGTTTGGCCCTAATTGAATCATCACTTTTTCAATCATCATGGGGGGGGGGCTGCCGCCCCCCCTAACCCCCCCGCAATTTTTAGACTTTTTGCCCCTGATTGAATCATCACTTTTTTGATCATCATGGGGGGGGGCTGCCGCCCCCCCCAACCCCCCTGCTATCTGTTGGACTTTTTGCCCCTAATTGAATCATCCCTTTTTTCGATCATCATGCGACCGCTACTTTTTAGATTCTTTGCCCCTAATTTTTCGATCATCATGGGGGGGGCTGCCGCCCCCCCCCAACCCCCCCGCTATTTTTTAGACTTTTTGCCCCTGATTGAATCATCACTTTTTCGATCTACAGGGATTAGTTTGCCCGTATTTGAATCCTCACTTGTACCATGAGGCCTTGCCGTAGTGGAACTGTTCACCCCCCCGCTGCTATTTATATATATATTTTTTGGCCCTAACTACGTTTTAGGTGTTTTACAGGGATTAGTTTGCCCGTATTTGAATCCTCACTTGTACCATGAGGCCTTGCCGCAGAGGAACTGATGACCCCCCGCTGCTTTTTTATAATCATCGTGGGGGGGGCTGCCGCCCCCCCAACCCCTTTGCTATTTTTTGGACTTTTTGCCCCTATTTGAATCATCACTTTTTCGATCATCATGCGACCGCTACTTTTTGGATTCTTTGCCCCTAATTGTTCGATCATCATGGGGGGGGCGGCGGCAGCCCCCCCCCAACCCCCCGCTATTTTTTAGACTTTTGCCCCTGATTGAATCATCACTTTTTCGATCTGCAGGGATTAGTTTGCCCGTATTTGAACCCTCACTTGTACCATGAGGGCTTGGCGCAGAGGCACCGATGCCCCCCCTGCTGCTTTTTTTTTAAAAAAAATATTTTTTTGGCCCTAATTGAATCATCACTTTTTCGATCATCGTGGGGGGGGCTGCCGCCCCCCCCCAACCCCCCCGCTATTTTTTGGACTTTTTGCCCCTGATGGAATCATCACTTTTTCGATCTGCAGGGATTAGTTTGCCCGTATTCGCACCCTCACTTGTACCATGAGGCCTCGGCGCAGAGGCACTGATGCCACCCCCGCTGCTTTTTTTATATTTGTTTTGCCCGCCTAATTGAATCATCACTTTTTCAATCATCGTGGGGGGGGCTGCCGCCCCCCCCAACCCCCCCGCTATTTTTTGGACTTTTTGCCCCTATTTGAATCATCACTTTTTCGATCATCATGCGACCGCTACTTTTTAGATTCTTTGCCCCTAATTGTTCGATCATCATGGGGGGGCTGCCGCCCCCCCCAACCCCCCCACTATTTTCAGACTTTTTGCCCCTGATTGAATCATCACTTTTTCGATCATCATGGGGGGGCTGCCGCCCGCCCCAACACCCCCGCGCCTCCAATTGAATCATTACTTGTTCAATCATCATGGGGGGGGGCATCATGGGGGGGCTGCCGCCCCCTCCCCCCAAAAAGGCTGCCGCCCCCCCCAACCTCCCTGCGCCTTTAATTGAATCCTCACTTTTACCATGAGATGCGGGAAGCCAATTTGCTGGTGATGCTGGCGATGTTGGCTGGACATGCGGGGGATGTTGAAAACGATGCTGACTAGCGTAAAATACGTACATTTCGCGAGAAAATGCTGTAAATTACAGCATTTTAGTGGCCAGGACGGAAAACAAAAAAAAATCCCAAAATAAAACAAAAAAAAATCCCAAATTAAATCTCGACCCGTTAAACTTTTAGCAGGGGAGGAAAGCAACCGAGTACCTAACGCAGCAAGTTTCTTACCGCTTGACATCTGGAAAACATCGCCGACATCGCGTCAACCCCTGGCCAGGCTGGTCCGCATTGGCCAGAGGCGCGGGTCGTTCCAACTCGTTGCCTTGGCTGTGGGGCATGGGTCAGTGTCTGGGTTTCTCCAAGAGGTTGCCTTGATTGGTTTCAGGGGTTGCTAATGTTAACCCCGGATGAAGTTAACCCCCTGGGTGATTAATAGGGGTGTCCCCTTTTAGTGGGGATTCAGACCACTCTTGAAGGGAACACCCCCCTAATAATGGGACGGGTTTATTAATCCTGGGTCAACATTCTGGGTTGCCATTGGGTGTGGGGGGGGGGGTGCATGGGAGGCTCACCCTTAAGGCAGTGTTCAATTGTCAAAGTTGGTTTTCGGGCCCTAGCGCGACTTTCTCGCAAGGGGACTGACTTTGATGGCAAAATAACACAAGCGCGTGTTTTGGTCTTGGGACCCCCACATCGGATTTTGTTTTTCCTTTCAGCTTCCCTTGAAAACCAACCAGAAGGGGGCAACAACTCAAAAAATGACAGACCCATGTGTAGGCTGCGGATTTCTTCCTTACAAGCAGGTCTTTGGTGCACGTCTCCATCCCGACCAGGTCCAAAACTATTGTGGCTCGTTTTCAGGGGTGCCCCGGACGTGTCCCACGGCTCAAAATGATCAGATTTGACACGTACTGTGGATGGACAAACCCATTTCGCACCACCCAGGATGATGATTCCCCTAAAAATTCTCGGAAATAATTACCACCAAACAACAGTTTCCCATGGTTTCTCAGGTGGTGCAGGATTTCGTCCGTACACACTATCAATGTGTTTTTAAGTGGGACGCATGCAACTTGCACCAAAACCACAAAGGGGCTCGCACAAAGCGATATTGCACGGTGCCAGCGCAAAATACGAAAACCTCGCAACAGACAGGGACTTGCCAAACAGGACACTCACTTCCTGAGTTCATGAACTTTAAACTTTTTGGGAAGACCATTTTAGTGGTAATTATAAAATGTGAACTGTTTTTGGGCCATCCACTCAGCCAGTGAGGACATGAGGCCAAAATGGAGGGGTTGATTAGTCATTGCCACTGTCCTTTGCAACTAAAAGGGGAGTTATGTCAAGCAGCCATAGCTTACAAAAGATCAGACGGGATTATTAGTCTCACCAAGGCCCAAAACGAATCGACGTGTTGACCAACGGAGTTGTCTATTTGTTGGTTCATGTTAGTTACACCCCAAAGGGTGATTTTTTATTCATCTACAGAGCATACTTGTAGGTCCAGTCTCAATTCCTGGGAAAACGTCAGGTATCTATACACGTCCTGTCACTCCCCCAAACAAAAAGCAACTAGGTATGGTCAGCTGTTGGGCTCATACTACGTCCTGTCACCCCACACCCACCCCACACACAAAAAGATAGATATGGTCGAATGATCAACTGTGCTACTTGTACGCTCTATCACACCCAGCAAACAACAGAAACACCTGTGACATGCGTTGCGGGTCCTGTCACGCTCCCGCAAAATAATTTCGCAAGAGTAGGTTTAGCTGATTCCCATGCCTCATGGGTCCTGTCACACCCAACAACCGCAAGACCCAGCAGTCCTTGAATCTTGAATCACCTCCCAAAGTGGCACCGGAACTGACCCAAAAAGCAGCCAACATCCTGCTAGTCCTGGGTCCCGTCACCAAGTCAAACACCGGAAAAGAAGCAAGAGAAAAAACAAACAAAAGGAAAACAAAAAAAAGCCACGTGTCCAAGGGATGGCGAATGTGTGGGGTGCTGCGCCTTCGATTTCGACGGGATCTCAGGTCCGGGCGTCAGCATTTGAAGGATGATGAGCTCCTTGAGGTTTCGGAGGAGGGGAGCCGGCCGGGCACCCCAGAAAGGCCAGCGAGGGGTCGGTCGCTTTGGAAGCAGACGGGGGATTTGTGGCGTGTGTGTCCGTTGTTTTCTGTTTGTTTGTTTTTTTGTTGGGGGGGGGAAGAAAGACCTGACCTTGGGGTGTGTGGAGGTATTTTCTTCTTCTTTTTGGTTTTTGGGGGACCTTGGGACCTGGGGGTTTTTGGAGGTATCGTGGATAAGTCCCGAGTTTGGAAAATCGGAGGTGAGTTTGATGTTTCCACTGGGCACTGAAGGAGTATCCCTCGCTGAAGCTCGACTGCCCTGCCCAACTGATGCCATGCCCCGCGCCACCTTTTCTTTATTAGACTAGGTCCCCCAGTGGTACCCAAGACACAAATTCAGGTGTTCCCTGGTTGGTGGTTTGGTTTGGTGGCTTGGGTGTGTGAACCCCAGTTCCTTTTGAAGACAGGTGGGGAAGGTACCCCAAGTTGTCCAAACCACCAAACCAAACAACCAAAGAGTGGTAAGGTGGCCAAAAAAGAAGCCTCTTGTTGAGGGTCAATGGACAGCCACGCGACATCCAAGCCACCAATCCAAACCACCAGTTCGGGGAGGGGGGGAAGCTGAAACGATGTTATTTCTCCTAGGTCCCCCAGTAGCGCCCTTTTACCCCTTTTTTGGGGGAGGGTTCCCCTACCAAAAAAAGAAGCAAGGGTACCCTTATTCTATCCTCTCTATTGGAGGACCTAGTAGAGTGGTCATCGATCTTGAAGTAGAGGCATCGACCTCAACTTCTCGACTCAGCCGGATCTGCGGCCTGCAGGAGTGTCTGCAGAAAGTGATCAGCTCGGCATTACCAATGCGCTGCACCAGGTCCGATCTTTGGCACTTCGCCCACAGCGCCAGGGCCAGAAAGGCTTTCTCTTCTCACGAGCACTGACCAGGAGGGCCAGATTTTGCTCGCTTGCCCGCGGGCTCCTGTCTGGCTGCTTTACGAACTTCCGAAGAAGCCAGGTCGTGGCAGTTGCCACGCACCCGCCTGCGTAGTTCGTCTTCTTCACCACAATCAAAACCCGGATAGATGAAGGTTAGTAAGGGACGCTTGGTTATATTTACCCGGGCAACCCATTTTTGGGTTACCATGGTTACCCTATGTTTGACCGAAGGTCTGCAGCTTTTGAAGCCTTTCGCTTGCTGCCCGACCGGGCTGTAGCGGCTGCGCAGTCAACTTCGCGACGCGATTCGTCCGGCTCGCCCGCCGCATCAGCCCGCCCGCCACGGCCTTTTTTTGCCCTTGCAAACTCGCGCTGCGGCAGAAACGAAGCGGGTCTCGGGTGATGAGTGGGTGGCATGAGGACCTCAAGGTCCAAATTGGTGTCCGCTAAATTTTGCAACCAGCATATACCAGCATCCAAAATCACATCCAAGAGAAGCAAAGGCCTTTTTGTCCAAATGCTCCGTCAAATCACTGCCCATTTTGGCGCGACCCCTGAGCTCTCGAGAAGCTTTCAAGCCACGATAAAGAAGGATCTCTTCATCGCATAACCCATGGACTGGATACATGGGAAAGGCGTCCATTCGGCGCAAGCTGGCTCTCCACACCAGTTGTTCTTCCAGTGCTGCACATCAAAACAACACGACCCATCTTCCCAAGACAAACACAGGTTATCATAGGTTGCATTGAGGTGTTCAAGTTGGCAAAGGTGCACTTCCCGCTGCCCGTGTGGCACCCGAAAGCCATCTGTCGAGAGAGCACCTGACACCGAGAGAGCACCTTCCGGATCTCCCACTTCCACCTCGACTGGCCCCGGGCATAGGCCAATGGGAGACGTGGCCTCTGAAACGTCAACCTTCCGGTGGCTGGGAAATGGCCAAGCCCGCCAGGATAGGCTGGCAGCAAGGAGTTTGCACCAGTACAGCCTCTGAGAAACCAACATGGCCAGCGTGCAAACATCTGAGGTGCGACCCCTTTGGAAACGCTTGCCTTTTTATTGGGAAAGAGAGCCTAGAGCTCTTTGAACTGGCAATCCCTTTTCCACCTTTGAGTCATTTTCTTCCTTAACCGGTCCTCCAGAACCATTTCTGTGGCCGTGGGAAACTCGAAGTTGGAGGAAAATTGCACGGACTGCCATGTTCTCACCCGAATCAAGCTGGATCTGACGTGTTAGCTGCTTGGCCAAGATGTTTGGTGGCCCCAGCTAGCCTGACAACTTTCTGGGTTAGCAACTGATTTTTTCATTGGCCTGTCCACCTGCAAAAGAGTCGGCACATATCCCAGGACCTTGTCCTCGGAGCTTGTCGAGAAAAGGTGTTCTTTTTAGGTTAGTTTGGTTATACCATTTGCCAGGGCCATCGATTTGTCCAGGGTGACCTATGCAAGAACCAAGTTAGATGAAGGTATGATGAGATCGCATGTCTCGTCAGCCTAGACCGTGGCTTTGGCTGGTGCTTCTCCCGTGGACCCGTGCTTCCGACCTGGATTGTTAACGTTACTCCTTGGGGTTGAGTCTTGTGATGTGTCTTTTTGTGTTTGGGTACCCTGTTTCATGGTTGTTGTTGGGAAACATTTTACATTTTTGCTTATATAGTGGTTCAGTGGGAAATCCCCACTTATCTGCTAAAATTTAAAATTGTTTGCTCCCCTTCCAACATCAACTTTTGGGGTGGCTTGAGAGGGAAACCAAAACAACAACCGTTGCGCCAACTCGTCAGCGATCCTCCGATCCCTCTTTCCCGAGGCTCTGCTTGGAGCATCTTCATCCGAATCCAAGCCCGGCATCCCGGTGAACCTTCGGCTCGGAAGTTGTTAGTTGCTTGCTTGGGCCTTCCCAGCCATGCGGCTCCTGATGTTTTTTTTTGGGTTTTTCAGTTGGTTTAGTGGGTGGGCTTCCATTTAAGCCACCAAGAGTTGAACTTGTGGCAGGGGATCTGAGTTGGCAACCTAGGTACCAATAACCCGAAGTGTGGTTGACCTATTTTTTCTGGGGGGGGGGATACCCCAAGTGGCGATCCCCACTTCGGCCCTCCTTTCAGTACTGGAAGTTGACAAGGAGTTTACCCCCCCCCCAGCTAGCTTTCATGTTCGTCAGAGGGCATGTCGTTCTGCCAATTTTAAAGCGAGCTCACCTGGGGGCAAGGTCACCATGATAAAGGTCCTGTACTTGGGGATCCCTCAGTTCATCTTTTGGACAAATGCAGCTGTATATGAGAGACTAGATTCTGAGGATGCTGGGGTGATTGCTTCATGCCCCGGATCGCACGAAACGAAGCCAGGCCGATGGCCTTGGAGTTTCTTGGGATTTGTGTTCGCCAAAATACTGGATGGGTTTCTAACACCAGGTCTATGACAGAGTGTGGGTATTTGCACAGAGGGGGAGCGCGTGATTCTTGTAGCTCATTCATTTGTTTGTGTCCCATCAGCATTTTCCCCTTGGCGTTTTGAACGTGAGAAGTCCATTGGTGATGCTGGCAAGCCAGCTTCAGGGTTGCATCATTGTTACCCGAATGACTTGAACCTACTCGTGGCGCTCTTGTAAAAGGACCCCTTTACTTGCTGGTGCTCAGGGAAGGAGGGAACCCCTCTAAACCATCCCACTGGTTTCCTTCAAGAAAAACTCCTGTGTTCGTTTTTTTTCATTCCCCACCTATTGCACCAACAAGTTGATGGCTGTAGCAATCGAATCGAAACGGACTCCCCAAGTTGGCGCATGCCTTTGGATTCAGTGACAGTGGCAACAGGTACTCGGGAAATATCACTTGAGGCTCGTCAGGGCCAATGTCTCTGACCGGAAAAGGCGAACCCGATTTCTGAGAACATCAAGAAGGATGTTTGACGGCGTGGCGTTATTAGTCGCTTGTTCAGTTTGGCCGTTACTTGCCTGAGACGATTTCCAGCTTCATTGTTTGGTAAGGGCATTCTGGTTTTGAACTTGTTTGTATGAGTTGATATTCGCATTTTGGCCTCACTCATAACGCTTGAAGAATCAGGACCACAACAACAAGAGAAGCAGCCGCAGCAGTAGCAGCAGCAGCAGCCACTAATAGACAGAGAGAGAGAGAGAGAGACAAACACAAGCACAAAGAGACGGAGGCACAGAGAGACAGAGACACCAAGACGACAAGACACGCAGACAGTGACACAGAAACACAGACAGAGACAGACAAGCAACTAAGCAACCAAGCAGCCAAGCTGGCAGCTAGCCAACCCACCAAGCAGCCAACCCGCCAGGCAGCCTGCCTGCCAGCCAGCCAGCCAGCCAACCAACAAACCAACCAACCAACCAACCAACCAACACCCTACTGCCTCCATTGCGTTTGCAAGTCCTCCTCCCCGCCTTACTAATTTGTAACAACTTAGCATGCTCTACTGATATGGTACCACTTGCTGCTTAGCACCACTGCCGATACAATGGTTGCTGCGAACTGTGTCTTGGTAGTTTCAATTTGGCCGAGTGCTCCCATGCATTTTAAGACTGCGTGATGAAAGGGGAAGTACATCCAGAGAGGTATGGTTTACACTTAAGGTTTGCATGAATTTCTCACATTGTGTATGTCACTTATTGTTTTTTGTTGCAACAGTGGATGTTGCATTGGACCCACAAAACGCTAAACCTTTTGCAGAGGGGTCAACAGCAACCAAGCATTGGAGGACACAAACTGTTGACAGGGCCAAGTCTGCATATGTTGACCGACCTGTGCGCCTTTGCCGAGGTTATGCTAGAACATCCAGATACAACAAGCCCTTGACAATCAAGTGAGAGCGCAGCCCTGCGCTTGTAAATAGCCCGCGCCCGTTTGGACCATGCAGTAATTGGTTACCCTCGAAATGGGCTTCGCCTCAGCCAAAGTTGCCGGAAGTGTCAGGCAGTTACACATCGCAAGGTGTTTTCCTCGTTTGCCACGAGAATCGGCATGGTCCGAACCTGTCTCCAGCGGGCACGGCGACCGCCGAAAAAGCGCCCCAACCTTTCGCCCCCCGGCGCTCCGCGACGCCCGGCTCGCCGAGCTGGGAGAGTTTGTTTGACATGGCCTGAGGGGCCAAGATCTCCCGGCTCACATCGACGGGGGTGCAACTTTAACCTGCGCAATCGGTGCGGTGCGAGGAAAAAGGCGATGCCTTTTGGGACCCACGAAGAACAACATGTTCCGCGCGCGCTACAAGGCTATGAATGGTCATGCTTGGAAGGATTCAATCGTGCGAATCCGTCAATTTCGTTCGAGGATGTCCACCACAGAGTCTCAAACTGAGATTCATTCCCATGGTATGAATCAAGGGAGCTTAGGCAGGCGACCTTTCACTGATGGAATGAATCTATGGGTTGTTGGGTCCTGGATTGGTTTCAATGGAGGTTCGAAACGTGCTCCGGTTCATACGTTTCGTGGTGACGCATGTTCTCGGGATTTCGGTTTCTGACCTCCAGTCAAAGTGCGTTGGATTTTGAAGGAGTCAATCCGTATTTTGGAAGCGGGCAAAATGAAAAACACTCCTCCCTCAGAGAGGGACCAACAATTAAATGCGAAATATAGCAGGCCAGGTTTTATGTTCCGTTTCAGGGCCCTTTGGCATTGTCACGGTGCTTTGGAGTTCTGGAGGTTATATGGCTGTGGGTCAAAACCAATGGTACCATTTTGGTGTAGGTGCACCACCCATTTGAGTCTATTTGAGTGGGGATTGGGATGTTCACTCAGAGTTCGGGATTTTGACTCATGGCCATTTTTGTTTTTAGTATAACTATATACACTGCCCCAATCCCCTTAAAGTCCTCAAACCAACCCACCTGAACAAGGACGGCCGTCAAGCCGGTGGCTTTGCTGTTCAAAATATCCACACTGCGCCAAGATTGAAAATTCAGCGGCCCTATTCAATCGGGAAGGCATCCCACGCGAGATGTCCAAGTTGAGGGACCGATTTGGTGATTGAAAACCGCTTCCGTGGAAAAACTCACTTCCCGAGTTCCTGGACTTTAAACTTTTGGGGAAGACAAAAACACCCAAAAAAAGTCCAGGACTTCTGGAACTCCATGACTTACTGCTTTTTTTGGGAACTCTTGACCACTAGTGGCAAACCAAAAGCTTGGACTTGTATTGGCCCATCAACTCGGGGAGTGAGACAAAAACAACTGCTACACAGGTTCGGGGTCTCACTCCGAGCTTTCTGCCAATCTTGCAGCCCAAGCTCTTTGTGACATTTTCTTGCGACGGGGGTTGGCAAGAGACAAGAGAAGGGGGTCTGAGGGATCCATCCAAGCTTTGAGCCAGGAAATCCTTGAAGGAACTCCCACCCCGGAAAAACGTTTGATCCGCAACACTCAGGACCCCCCAAAGCGAATTGACGGAATCCGACCTTTTGGTTTGCCAGTGGTCCACATTGAGCCAAGGAGGCAAAAGGTTAGCTTTTTTTGGTCCGGCTCCTTTGGTCAAGTGAGAACCATTTTCAGACTGATTTTTTCACGGCCGGGTTTCCCGGAAGGCGAACTGGGATGCAGCCTTTGGCTCATGAAAAAGCGGCTGCGGTCGACTGGGAGAATCTCCTGAAGAAGGAAGTTCTCTTGTCGAGCTTTCCAGCCAGGCTCCCAATCTCCGTGGCAAATCGCTTGCCCAAGTGTTCTTATAGGTTCCTGTTGGGGCGAACCCCAAGTCCTTCGCCTGGACCAAGGTTTTTGCTTCGGGGCGAGCGATTCGCACCCACTCTCCAAGAGAGTGGCCAACCGTTCTTCCCGCAGGGGGGAACCTGGGAGCTCGCCGAATGAGAATGTCATGGCTGTCATCCTGGTGAGTGAAACTGGGATCAACGTGTGCATACAGCATATATATATATATAGACAGCTATTTGTGCACAGCAATTTGCGAACTCCGAAACAGTTGCCTGCAAGTTCTTCAGCCGTCGCTCTTTGCCCTGGGTTCTGCCCGTGCAAGTCGACCCTGATATCAGCCCACAAGGGCAACCCACCGTGCCGGCCGTCGGCGTGCCATTGCTTTTTCCAGGCGCCTGGGTGGGGGGGGGGGAGGGGCGGGAGACGCTTGGGCCCAGAAACCAAAAGGCGGGATGGAGGTCACAAAAATGGGTTGGACCATAGGGTCTGCTCAACAGATTCATTCCAAGATGTCCATGGTGCTTCAGACTGCAGGTGTTGTGTTTTTTTGTTTTTGCGCGAGCTTGTCTTCATATTGGTGATGTTTCTAGGTGGAACATGTAGGGGACACACGATATTCAGAGAGGCAGGTTGGGGTGGAAGATCAGGAAATTGAGGGTTGTTCAAAAAGAATGGGTCCTGGTTTGGGACTCCAAAATCTCGATGTTGGCCCACAATGCCATTAATTTTCCCTTTCGAAGGCATCACGAAAAGGGACTTCCACGGCAATCCCCTTTGGGGCTGCCTGCAATGGGCAGTCAGAGCTATCCCCCCGCGCCTTCCGATGATGTATCATCCACCAACTAGCATGGAATCTGACTGGGGGCCCTTTTGAAAGGAACGTGGTCCAAACCGGACCCCCCAAACATCAGGTTCCATGCTAATTGCTGGAAGTAACCAATAATTTCAATTCATGTTGACTTCCATCTACCGGTTCAACGACCATCTTTTGCCCCCGATGCCGGGCTTTCGGTTCGGACCCTCGACTCCGTTTAGGGCTGGCCAGGCTTGGTCACGCTCCCCATGGGGCGGGAGTAAACTCATTTGTCTCACCTGAGTTGGACTGAACAGTTTTTTCGGCTCGAGGACCATCGGAAAGTGATGGCAGCCTGTCCAATCTCGATCGGAAGCGAGCCGCTGGCTTTTCTGTGAAGCCGGTTTGTGCCTTTCCCAAAGGCACACCCTGCCCCTAAGCTAACTACTGCTACATGATATAGTATGTATATATATATATATGCATAATGAATCTACATATATATACATATATATATATATCCACAAGTATTTCTATACAATACATATATATATATATATATATTTATTTATTTGTACATTCATACATATATACACATACGTATAATGTTTGCATACATAGTATGTGTATACTATATATATGTACATTCATACGTAGCCATAAACATACATGGCAGCTGGGTGTTCAGGCTAACCACGTGACCCGCCCGGGACCCGCACGAGTCCACCGGCTTTTCAACCTGAGCCGTGAGCTGTGCAGGACCGGTCAGGCCGGTGCCTTCAGTGGGGGGCCCGAGATGCGAGGATTTGTCGGTTAAGTTCCATGTTGTTAAGTATGGGGGTCATTACCCAAAATCATGGGGTCATTGACCTGTTCTTAAAAAGGTCATGGAGACTCCAGGTACTGGAAATAATTAGTAGTATGTTTTATGCATTTCTCCCTGTTGGTTTTGAAGGGAATCGATTTTTTTCACTACTGGACATATTTATAGATTTTTTCCAGGAGACTCCAGCAAATGGAGGTTCGCCTTTCCCACCCAACACCACTGTTGCCCAGTGGGTTGCTTCCTTTTTCCCTTTTTTGGGTAAGGGTTCCGGAGGGTGCCCTTTTTTTTGCATGGCCACTGGGCATCTAAGACACCTCTTTTTGCACAGTGCTTGGGATTCTGGATGTGGGAAAAGGAACTGCTTTTTTGGGGCTTGGAGTTCTGGATATGGCTTGGAACGCTGTTGCCAGATTGGGGGCGTGGTCGGCGGGTTGTTTGCTTCCGAAAGCATGGTCGCAACCAAGCGAGTGGATGTCCTCCTTGTCAGGCACCAAAATCAGCCTTTGGTTCCTTTGGTTCCTGAGGCCTGACAGTTGCCTTTTGGTTCAGCTTTGGTTTAGTGACCCCTGGACCTCCTGGGACCCGATTTCCGGCTTTCAGCTCACCTGAGGACTTCCCCTGGTGTTTTGGTTCTGCAGCGACCTAGGGTTAGCCCTTTGGGGGTTTAGGATCGCACGGGCAAGACGATGCGAGGTGTCAAATTCAGATGGGCCTGAGTGGTTGATTGCATGTCCGGGTTCCTTCGCCATGCAAGTAGATTGTCTTCGTGTTTTGAGGATTCCAATGATATTGTCATTGGGAATTACTAGCAAACTTACACACCCTCTCCCGCAACGAATCTTTCTTGCTTGGGGAAGCCTGTAAGTTCTAGTCCTTGTCACAGCATAAGAAGGGTGCATCCACGTGCCAAGCACTGTCATAAGGTGAAATGAATTGCTATGTACCTTCCAGGTACTTCAGCAGAGACAAATTAGTGCAGAACCAGTTAGAACCCCTAAGAAGGTTCCATGCATGAATCTTTTCTTGGGGTGGGCTGCCTTTGATTTCCTCGCTAAACAGAGTATGCCCAAGACACAGTGCCTTCCTTGTCACCCCTCTGGGACAATTTGGAATCCCCCCGAGAGCCACACGCGCAAAGGAACAATTGGCAGCCATGTTCAGTTGGTTCCATTCCCCAAGGCGCAATTTTGGTACTTTTTTTCGAGCCACAGCCGAGTAGCAACGCAAGTTGACGGGCGAGGTGTTGCCGGCGATCGCTCGGCTGTCGCAAGCCTGGCTCACCAGCCCAAAGGGGTTGGAGGAAATGAGGCGAGGCAGAGGCACCCTCCCTGTGGATTCTTTGACCACTTCAAAACCAGGGTTTCATTGGACAAGCACTGTGTGAACATCTAGAGCAAATCTCACTTGGCCCATGCTCGACTCTCTTTGGGTTGTTGCAACGAGTCTGACGCCCACTCAGCCGAGTTCTCTTGGAAGCGTAGACGAACGTCGGACTGAACACCACGGGAACCCGCACTGACTTTCAACCCCAGCAGCCCAGCCGGTGTCTCGCACTGTAGGCCCCTTTTCGAACCCGAAAAGGCGGTTTTTCTTCTTCTTTTTCTTCTTCCCGGAGCATTGGAACGTCAAGTCGATGCAGCGGCTTGGAATCCAGAAACCCACGAAACGCCGATCGAGCCAACTGATCCAACGCTCAACATGGGATGGAGTCAAGGCCCGGGAGAAAGTCCGAAGTTGGTGAATCTTGCAGGGAATGTGGGAATGATTCATGGTTGCAAGGGGATTCCCGCAAGGAAACCACCAAGGGATGGTTGATAAGAATCACTCCATTTCTAATACCTATCGCAGCAGCAAGGTTTGAGGTTCGTGGGCTCTTTTCATGAGTTGGCACTTGGTACCCTCCCATCCACTAACATGAAACCTGACCAAGGAGTGCTGGAAGACAATGTTTCTTTAAAAGGGACCCTCTGGTAGTTTCCATGTTAGGGGAAAGGAGGAGGGTCCCTTTGGCGCCGAAGGGAAACCAAAAGGAAATGACCAATTCTTGGGATTCACCTGTTTTGAGACACACCCACGCCTTTGCGGCCAATCTTGATTTCCGTTTGATGGAGTAACGCTTGAAGAAGACAAAGACAAACCCTGCAAAGGAGCATGTCGTGCTATTGCGTTTGCTTGCAACCTCTGAACCATGTTGCCACGCAATCCACCAGGGATGTTAGTTGGCGGGGGTTGTGTTCCTTGTTCGATCCTGTATTCGTTTTTGAAATAGGCCTGCGTCGGGTTCTCTGTGCGTTGCACACGTGCTCGTTCAATTGCGTGGTAAGCGGTCTTTCTGATTATTGGTACACTTGCCCGAGCTCACTTTGTTTAACTGGTTCTTGGCTGCTTCCCATTGTATCTTCCTTTGCTGATTATGATTCGGATGGCGCATCCAGCAGTTTCGTCAACCAATTGTGATACAGCTCATGACCAACGACAATCTAGCTGTGGCTTTGCTTGTGTCAACCTCAGGTAACCACGTCTTCCAATGACTTGTACAAGTGGCAATTTTCCAGCTGCCGAAGTCTTCGTGGACCTCCACGGGTATGCATCAACTGTGTATGACATATGTATATTTATAGAAGTATACACGTGTACATCTCTTTTTTGAGGGTACCTTTTTGGGGTGGTTCAAAAGGAAAGAAAAAAAGGCAAGCCACAATTCTGAGGGCTGAGGGTTCCCCTAAATGACACACCCATATAGATTTGGATACACCCCACTACACCCCATTTGTTTGAAGGTTGTGCCTAGTTTTGAAGGTTGTGCCTAGTTTTGAGGTGTTTCATGGTCTGTGATCCACTGCTATTTTGTATTAGTGAAATTCCTCATAGGATTATCATAAGATAGGAAATGTAGATTCGCAATATGGAAAAGAAGAACACCACAAAGAGGAAATGTCAATAGAGAATGAAAGACAACGAACCTCTTCACAGTTGGATTGTAAACATAATGTCCTCCACAAAGCCATTCAACTCAAGATAGAATGGGAGATAATAAATTTGTAATTACTGTAACTCCCCATAAACTCATTTGTCCATTCGGCAAAACATAACCCATAAATGCTGTTCCCACTAAGAAGAAGTAAATCATAATTCCAAACAACCAAGTCTTAGGATTATAAACATATGAAGCATAAGATATAGCTCTTCCAAGATGTATATAGGAATACAAGCGGAAAGACAAACGATGCACCATGAAGATAACGTAAACACAATCCACACTATATTTCTCTGAGTAAAAATCACTTACTGAAACATGCTGAATCTACACGTAAGCCTGAGAAGATTCCAGAGATATTGTGTAATATAATATTGATTCTAAAACAAGAAAACAACAAAACCACTTTTCCCAAAAATGATGCTTGATCAGAGGACAAGGATCTGATTGTAAATGAGATTTTATTAGGAATACAAAATAAGTATTCAACATGATGAGAATAGATTCATAATCGGGCAGTGATAGCATTCTTCTCTTTACTGTATCTCCCATCCGTTCCCCCCCTGCAGTAGTTTTGGTCATTTTACTCCTGGGCATACCATTTGTTCTTTCTGTTCCAGACGTCACTTGTCGTTCTTGCTTCTTTTAATACTTGTAATTAATTTGTCATGTTTATTCTATTTATTTGTGTCTTGTTGAGTTTACCTGTCCTTTTCCCTCTCCTTCCTGCCTTGTTCATGGGTTTCGCCATTCTCAGCCCTGGAGCCGGGGAGCTGGTTACAACTAGGTCAAATTGATCAGCACGGATTGGTTTTGCACAACCAGTTGGGCGAATTGTAACTCACATCCTGAGTTCATGGACTTTATACTTTTTGGGAAGACCATTGCAGTGGCGTACAACAAGTTGGGACTTTTTTGGCCCATCAACTCGGGAAGGGAGGTAATGACCCGCCTAACAAAAGCACATGCCTAGATCGGGCTGCTGCTTTTTCCAAAAGCACATGTCACCGCTTTTGTCGAAGTTTGGACCTTGGGCAGTCGAAAACCTGTGGGGTAAGTCTAGAAAGACAGCAACTTGGATGTTCAACCCACTTAGGTTATAGCCATGGTTATAAGATATGGAGCCAACCCCAGTTCCTCAGTTCTAGGCTGTGACCTAAGTAGTTGTATCCTACGAGGGTGCCTATGGGCGTGCGCCCCAGTTTTCAACTTCTTAGTTTGCCGAAAAGTCGCATGGGAAAGCCCCAAACTCATGCCTTCGGCTCGATGACTGCCTGCCCGGACCTCATTCGATGCTGTGAATGTCACATACAAAAGTCGCATCTGCGTGACCAAACCCTTGCAGAACAAAGGCAATGCTTCAAAACGAAGCCGGCACACGCGCTGACATGAGTTTGGGGCTGCCTCATTGCCGGTTCCTTTTTGTTTTGTTTATAATTGGGGGGGAACAAGCTTGGAGGTGCCTCGTGGCCGTTTTTTGGGGGGCGAACGCAACTCCAGAGACTTTTCACGCCTCGGGTTTCGAAGAGGACGGCAAGGTCCCCCAGTGCCAACTTTCTCACCCAACTTTTTTGGTTGGGAGGGTTCAACCCTACTAAAATAGACGTCCAGAAAAAAAAAAAAAACATCGGGTACCTGGAGTCTCCATGACCCTTCAAAATGGGGTTATTATCCAAACTAAAGGGGTCATGGACCCATTTTTAAAGGGTCATGGAGACTCCAGGTACCAGCTTATTCTAACCTCTCTACTGGAGGACCTAGTTAAAGGACAGGCGCCGACGGAGTCGAGCCAGGCCGAGCTCCCGGTGTCGAGGCCTCGACCTCTGGCGGGCGGCGAAGCACCAGGTGCTGAAGGCTGGGAGTTTGGCGCGCCAGGGGGCCACCTTTTAGGGACCAAAGTTCTAGGGTTACCTTCCCCACTAAAATGGGGCATAGGCGGTTCTCAACATGATCCTTTGTGGTGCATGTTTCTTGGTTTCCATAGGTGTCCTTTTGAAAGATACATGTTGCAACCATTTGAAACATGTTGCTTTTTCCAACAAAATAAAGGGGCACCACCATTTACAAGGCAATGTTCAGGTGTATAATGTAAGGATCCCTGCTTCTAGGAGTACCTTCCATAGTGTCCTTTTGATCGGTTAGTTTGGTTGAAATTGATGGGTTTCTCTGGTTTAGATGGGGTTAAGTCCATTTTACCAGGGCCATCAATTTTGCCAAAAGGCCACCTATGGTACCTTCCGCATTCTTTCCAGGGATCCGGATCTTTTCAGGTAACCATCAAAAAACCAGGGAACCAGCGATCGGTGTTTGAAAAGAACGATGGTTGAAAAGAATGGGGAATCAACCCCTAGAAAACTGGGCGGTTCGACCAGCGATTCGTCCGGTTTCTTAGGTGTTTCGTTGTTTTTGGTTGGCTTGGTGCTTGGCTTTGCGAGTGTAACCAAAAGCTAAAACATGTTCGGGGCTCCTACGCAACAGCCTCGCAAAGAAAGTCCACCCGCGCAATGGCATTACGTGAGAGATCCCGATTTTTGTGTGGCTTTCCGGCGGCTTTCCACTTTAAATGGCCAGCCTCGAAAGATTTCGATCGCTCAGCGTTCAGACACAGTTGTGCGCACGCTGACCCAACTTTCCGAACCATGGCCTTTGGGTGAAAGCTCTCGCCTGAAGCTACCATGGTTGTTGTAGGTATGTTTAATGCAAAACAATATGCTAATGATGAGGCGCATTTGTACTAATTTATATCTTAGCAGTTATTTTAGTTGGCATGCCAATCATGATTGGCGAGATTGTGGGAAACATTTGTTGTTTTTTTACATTTTCGCTTATTGTGGTTTAGTGGTTGAAGTCCAAATCCACTGCACTGCTAAAATTTAGATGTTTGCTTCCCAAACCCAACGTCAGGCGAAGCTACCCCGCCAGTGTACCAAGCATGCACCATCGCGCCATGACCCCTGTGGTCGTCCTAAGGAGCCCGGCCCAAAAGGGTGGAATTTCATGACCAGACTCTGCGTCCACCAGAATGCCTACACCCAAGACGGAATGGACGATGGTTGCAGGAATCTGGTGCCGGTTTTTAGCAGAAACTCTTTGGCGAGGGGCTGCCCTGAGGCTGGGTGAAATCCTTGTCTGATCACCCAAAGGTTTTGCTCCTCCTTGCAGCTTAGCTCTGACCTTTGGGTAGACGAGCCGATCGGCAACTCGTGTAGGTTGCTGGCATAGCTCTCTACAAGAGCATTCTGAAATCGCTATGCTCTCGGGTTCGTTTCGAGTACCCCAACTCTGATGCAAACCTCGTGGAACATTCAAAGGTACTGTGCTAGTCACATGGGAAGTCATGAGAACACCAGCTCCAACAAAGGTTTTGTCGACGGCGCCTGACGCCTCCATGCCGGCTCTGATCTGGAGGGAGTCTTACAGTTCTCCATCAGAGTCGGCAAGCCAGGTCAAGGAGCAAGCCAAGGTCATTGACTTTTGAATCGGAGCCAAATGGTTACCAGAACCCTCGTGAAAAACCAGCTAGAACCACCTATTGATATGGCCGATGCTGATTTCAGGCGCCCTTTTGTTGTGGAATTTGTTTGCAGAATGAGCATATCGCTGGGCGCCTTGGGCAAAGGGCAACCAGGCGTCGCTGATTGAAATTGAGCTCACCTCGGCGTCAAGCAACCCACAAATGGTTCCTCGCTTGGCAGTGATCACATATGTCCATCGCGGGTCTTTGAACTACAGTTCAAGCCGCTAAAGCCCCAACTTGTCGAATTGTCTCTGTGCAAGCTATTATGCCATTCGATTTCTTTGTCAAATGACAAATCTTCTGCCTCTTTGAGTATTTCGGGAGCAACCAAAAGCACACTGCACTTTCCACAGGTTGAACGTTTCAAACAATGATGTTGCCCAGTTGCTGCTCGTCCAAAGCCAGGTTCCCAGAGCAAGGAAGAACACGGAACTTGTGCATGCATTCAACGTTTTTCTGGAAATCCCTGAGTTCCTGAACTGAACATACTTTTTGTTGGCTGGACCATTTGAGTGGCTGAAGCAAAAGGGTTTGATTGTCCATTCTCTGCACCCATGGTTCTCTTTGGAGCCACCAAAGCTTTCCCAGGTTGTGTTGGCCCATTCGAAGGGTCCAGGTACCCGTGTTGACCTTAGAAAAGACTCACCAAAGAGTGTCTTATTTTGAGGGCGCAGCTTTTTGTGTACCAAAATCAGGATCTTAGAAACCACCAAAGACAAGAAACACCTGGAGCCTCTAGGACCCTTCCAAAATGTGGTTACTACCCAAACTAAAGGTGTCATGGACCCATTTTTCAAGGGTCATGGAGACTCCAGGCACATTTGGCTGTGGCTCAAAAACAACCGGTACCCAAAGCGGGTTGCCCTGGTAAGTGGAAACATGGACCAGCACCTGCGGTTTTCCGATCGAACCATTTTTTGAGAGCCACCCACTTGAAGCGAAAAGCTTCTTCGAAGCGCATGGACCTTACAGCTGGACAGCTCCGGGCTCGACTCGACTCGACTCGAGGGCTACGAAGTCCAACAGCTGCGGCCACCTGGACCAGACGAAACCCTTGTGCAGAATTCATGAAGCCACATTTTGCCGTGGGTCAAGACCGTTTTGGTTGATCCCATGGTAGGTGAATTCACCCAGTTTAGAACCGATTTTAGTGGTTGGAGTGGGATGTTCACTGCATGGCCATGTATTTCATCAGATTTCTGTGGAGAATTAAATAGGTCCCCCAGCTAGGTGCCAACTTTCTGACCCAACTTTTTTGGTTGGGAGGGTTCAATCCTACTAAAATAGACTACAGAAGAAAAAAAAGAAAAAAAACGGGGGGGGGGGGGGAAAAAACAGACGGTACCCTTATTCTACCCTCTCTACTAGATCTTGACGTGAATATGAAGACCATGTGTGAACAAGCAGGTCGCTACATGCCTTGTTCCGTTTCTGGGGTCATGATGGCAAGAAATCTGAAATCCTAGACTTGGAGCATTGACCAAGACGTGAAGTCATGTCAACCCAATGGTTGGCATTTTGTTTCGAGGTGGACAAGTCATTGTTTGCCCACCGTGTGGGAACGGCTTGGGCAAAGGACCTGGATGGTTTTGGCCGAAATCGCCCATGGGTGCTCTGGGTTTCCGTGGTCGCGGAGGATCCTTAGGGCCCAAAATGCATGTTAGAAATGAGGCGCAAACACCGGAACTGCTTTTGTTTTTCTTTTTTTGTGGGGGTGCAGGGGTGTTGTTGCAAAGGAAGTTCAGGGGAAACGGTAATCCCATATAGCCAAAGAGATGGGACTCGGTGAATTCTCAGCTTCACCCTGTGAATCGGCTGTGTTGGCCTAACATCACAAAAATCTACGGGTGGCTCGTCTTTTTTTAGGAATGCGCCCCCCGAGATGGCAAATCGTTTTCCGGTTTGTTCCCTAAACCACAAGCACAGGGGTACCCTCCAAAAGCAGACACACCCATCCATATATATATATATATATGGTGAACAAGGCAAACAAAGGCACCAGCAAGCTGCATTTTGAGGGGCAAATGGTGAACAGGACACTCAAGAGCTTCAATTGCGTTTGGCAGGGGAAAAATCATTGACAGTACCCAACCAATTACTGAGACCTGTACCTCATAGCGGTTGGACGCAGGCTATCAATTTCTTTGCCCGAAGCCAGCCTTTTGACTTCCTGGTGGTTCATTTCCAGTTGCGACTTTGGACTTTTTACTTTCAACAACAAGTTTGGATTCTGTTTGGCCAAGTTGCTTTTTCTCAGCTGCACCCCCCAGCCAAATGGGCATGCATTCCTTGCTTTTGGGTGGACGATTTCAGTACCGGGTTTTGATTATGACTTACCTCCCCTTGACCTCACTTAGTTCAACTAAGCTGGGAATGGAGACCGCTCGGAGACTCCAGGACTAGGTGCAGGTTCCTTCGCGCGGAATTCAGGATCCAACGATGGGGAAAAGAAGCTATCCACACTCCACCAGCAAGCAAGTTGGTTTGCTTTTGAGGCTTCAACATGAGGGGGAAACCCGAATAAAGAATGGCAAGGGCTTCCTTTTCAGTTCGCTTCCAAACGCACCAAAGGGGGTGCTTTCCCACGATGTGCCCCCCTTAAATGGCAACTGTTTCCTTTCGATTGTCCTTTGAAGCTACAGGCTTACCTTGGTTTCCCAACCAAAAAGCGACTGTGGAATCCCCCTCCAACAAAGCATGGGAACTCGGGCTGATGTTGGGACACCCTAGCAAATGAACTTGGGAACCCTAGGAACATCAAATGCTTTCCGGCCACCCATCTAGTTCTTTGGCCACTCCACTCACAAAATGAGAAATGGAGAGCTCTCCCCCTCAAACGAACATAGCTGCCTCAAGGAAGTCTTTGGCGTTCAGTCTGCTCGCGGGCTACCACACCTATGTCTTCTTCGCAGCTGGCTTGAGCATCTTGAAGCTTGGCTGCTTTTTCAGCGGCAAGTACTGATTTGCGTGTGTCTGAATTTGGGGGGGCCCCCATTTTGGTGATTTCATAGGAAAGCCAACAGGAAACCGGTGCGCCATCTGAATGGTTCCCTGGAAAATGAGGATCCCATTTGCCAAGCCAACTTGGCTCGAACCAGTTCCTCGAGGCCTTCATCACAGCCGCCGGAAGGCGTCCTAGCGTAGAAAGAGGACATGAGCGCGGACTCAAATGTGCATAAAGGGGTCCGAAATTTTGACCACGTATCCCTCCAGGTGGTCTCCAAATGAGAAAACGTTTGTCCATTCCTCCGAGTGAGGTGGAAATCATCTGTGGGCGGCCAACAGGTAAGAATGCAACCTGTATACATTATATATATATATATGTACATATCATAGCGAGCTCTCCTGATTAAACAAGCTTACCCAGGATGTGGTTCATTACGTTGGGGTGTGTGGAGTCGTATTTTTTGTGAATTGTGGTAACGCGTGCAGATGCATCGGCCACATGAACACCCCTTCCAATTTTGGTGCTTCCCAGACAATCCATGTATAAGTCTGTCTCCGTCACCTTCCTTCCTGGGTGCTGGCCCGGCTGAATAGACCATAGTGCGTAGTTTCCCAACAAAAGCCCGAAAGGGGATGTCTACCATGAAGATATCTCCCATACTCCCGACTTAGGACACTATGTGGGAATCTGATGCTGGCGTGGTTCATTTCCTGGTTCCAGGAAGTTATGGTCGCAGAAGCTGATCTGTCCCAGGTGTCCTTGGGATTTTATTTGGCCGCCGCTTGGCATGGACTACGACTCACTTGGGCCATGGAGCGGATCGTGTGTCTTGTTTTCGGGGACAGTGGCTTCAGTTGTCCTTTTGGTTTGCTTCGAAACCACCAAACAAAGACGTACCTTAAGAAAAACCCACCCATACACAGGCCGGCAGGCGGGAGGTGTTCGGCCACAGGCTTTTGGAAGGTGGTCTTATTTGAGTGTACCCTCTAGCCTTGTCGGGGATTCTTTGAAGGTAAACCCAACGGAAACCAAGTTTTTTTGTTTTTTGTGCCCGGAAAAGAAGGGGAAGCTGCTGTTGTTGGCAACGTTCGTGTTTTGAAAGCAGCCCGGAGGGTTCACTGTCAGAAACATGTAGCAACATGGGCCAGTTGCATCCTTGCTCTATGATTTGTTCCTTTTTGGAAAATAGAGGGATCCCAACAAAAGTGGGTTCTACAGGGTGTCCCTGGATTTTCTTGAATCAACAGGCACAGATGAAAAGGGATGCTGAAAACTGACTGTGCCGGGAACAGTCTTCGATGACCTGCGCTGTTACAAGACAAACTGGCTTCTTTGTGAAACGCTGCGGCCTTACTTGCGGCCTAGGAGACATGACTGGAAGTAGTCGGATATCTCATTCCTGGCACACCTCAATTTTTTGCAAGAACGCTGCCCATAGAGAGATTGGACAACTGCGCGAAGCAAACATCAAAAGAAAAAAACTATCCCTTTCTTTTTGTGGGCCTTTCCCCTGGTATGGTAGGGGCAGGGGCAGGGGCAGGGTTGAATGGATACTCGTCCCATATGTTAGAATTTCGAGCTTCATGTACTATTGTTTGGCTGTATCCAGATTATGCAACATGTGCTTTCTCGACTCCCTGGTATGAACCGCTAGATTATGCACGGACAATCCGGAAATTATGATTTGTTAGCCTCCGAAAGCGCCCGACATTGCCATGAGTTCAGGAAGTTGCTGCATTTGTTACAAACAGGGGGGGGGGGGTGGGGGGGGGACGTGCTGGTTTCCCGCTTGAAATGCAGAAAGCACCCACATGAGAAGGGACTCAAGATTCCTGGCAGAACGGCAACAAAGAAAAAATGTGTTTGCTCCCTTGATTTTTTGTCCCATGATCGGCTGAGGTGTGGACAATGTCATGACTGGGCAACTATCGTCCTTCACACCTTCCTGTAGCGACTCCCCGAAACATCACCAACCCAAACACATCCTTAAGCGTGAAATAGACTACGGCCAGTGTGTTTGAGGCAGTGTGCAAAGGGGCCCCCAGGAACAGTTCTGCCTTGCCTTTGTTTGCTTGCACAAGCGAATAGGCCAATCCCTGGATTCAACCAACACCAGTTCCCTTAAACTTGCTGTTTTCTTGGACCTGGGACGGGCAAGATTTGTGCGGGGGCATTGTGGGGTTCCACCCAATCTGCAAATGGAAGCTGTTCCCTACGTACCCTTGAGTTCATATCGTATCGGGGCATCCCCAGAAAAGTGTTTGTGGGAGCGGGAAGGGCGTGGCCTGTGGGTTTCCATATGTCCATGTTCCTCGTGGGGAAGACATTCTGGGAACCCGCTGAAGGTATCGGTTTGGGGAATATCGCCAAGGGGAATGCATGTGTTTTTCTTGTGCATCCTTTTTGGCGGCTGGTTTCTCCTCTGCTCTAGGACCTTAGCTGTGCTTGTCCCAGCATTTCCCTCCTGGATATGACTTGAAGCAAAACCTTCTCGCTTCAGAAATTCTGGACCTTAGAGCTCTGAGGTATGTTTTTTGCTTAGAGCTGGCCGCTGCCTAGGTCATTCAGCTAAAGCACCCCCCTGTACCTTCCCGCCCCCCCCCCTCGGGTCTCTTTCTTTGGCCTCGTCCACAAACCCATTTTGGTTGGTGGATTCACCACCCATTTTAGAACCTATTGTAGTGGTTGGATTGGGATGTTCAGTGGAGGCACGACTTGGGTTTTGACCTATGGCCATCAGGGGGGAGGATAAGGCCATATTAGGGGCTTAACAAGGTCTTATTTGGGCTCCCTCCCCCTCCCCTCCCTCCCTCCCCCCCCCCCTTTCTTTCTTTGGCCTCGTCCATAACGGTTGCCCAACGGCCCAACCCGAGGTCCTAACGCGGTGCTGGCTGCTGATCCACTTGGCCGCGGAGCTCATGCGCTGCTGCCTGTGGCTGGTGGAGGCGCCAGCTGGAGCGCAGGGGGTGAAGTCCGTTTGAGCCCTCTGAATCTGACCACAGCAAACTTCTTTCATGGAATCCCATTGGCAGACCATGCGAATCTTCGTCAGTCTTCATAGAACTCCATGGGGGGGCCATGTCAGCCTCATGAGAGTCTGCTGCCAAGCACTGACCCTAAAACCCTGAAACCTCAACAGAAAAGAGGCGGCTCATTCGGCGCTTTTGCAATTATTGTTTTCGGAGTTTTTGGAACCTGTTTGTTGGGCTGTGTTTTGGGCTGTGTTTTTCCTGCTTGAGAGGCGAGTTGGGTCTAGATCAGAATTGGAGTGAGGGATTCTCAGACATGGATTCCTTGTAGTAGGCCTGTCCAGCTGATCAGCCTGTTGTCGAAATATACTCTCAAGCAAGCAAGAAAACAAACCAACAAACATGCAAATAAACAACACAAAAGATGGAAAGGAGGAGATAAAGAAAGAAAGAAAGAAGGAAGCAAGGAAAGGAAGGAAAGAAGGAAAGAAGGAAAGAAGGAAAGAAGGAAAGACGGAAGGAAAGAAGGAAAGAAGGAAAGAGAAGGAAAGAAGGAAGGAAGGAAGGGAAGGAAGGAAGGAAGGAAGCAAAAGAGGAAGCAAATGAGGAAGCAAAGAAGGAGGCAAAGAAGGAAGGCAGGGGGGGCGGGGAACGAATGAAAGACTGAAACAAAGAAAGAAACAAAGAAGCAAACAAGCAAGCAGGTATGCAAGACTCCCCAACTGCACATCCCCGTTACTGATATACTTTGAAATTCGAGGTTGAATTTGGATTAAATGTGCCGAATTCACAGGGTGGTTGATCCAAAGTACTCGAATCAAAGTGGGGGGGCAAAAGCGCTCTAACTAACATCAACGAGGGTTGGTTCATCCAGGTGTTTCTACCAGATGTGCTTTAGCTCCAATTGGGTTTGGCCATCCCTTTTGACCTTATCCATTAGTCAACTGGCTGTTGGAAGACACCAGACATTGAAAGTCCTTGGAGGTTGCCAAGAAGCCCTCGGGTTTGTGGGAAGACCCTTTCAGTAATTGCTGGATGGGTGATTTGGATTCTGAGCAAATTTGGGAAACCATGCCAATCCGGGTTACACCAAACCCATTCGGCTCCCATGGCAGGTTTGGCAGAAGCTGATGTTCTCATTCCACGCAGATTGGAACGATTTAAATTTTAAAGAAACGGAAGACGCCCCATTGGGTCGGTACCTGTTTTTTGATGAGTTTTGCCAGACAAGTCAACAGGAACACCGTTGCTCGCCATTTTGGGGGGTTCCAAATTTGAAAAAGACACCCAAATATAGGGCAGCCGATTTTCTCATCATTCCCAGCGGGCAGATTGCATCAGTTGAAACGGGATCCAATTTGAAGCGGTTCTTTCCCTGTTTGGAACCTCCAAAAGTGTGGGCTTTCTTGTGTCGGTTTGGAGACTGCGAGTGAGTTGATCAACTTGATGTGGGGAAATCCGGTCTGTGAAGCCAAAAGCGAAGCCGAAGCCATTTGGGAGGCTCGTACGAGCCCCCCCCCCAATTGGAGAATTGGTTCTCTGAAGTGACGGTTAAAGTCCTGGCAAATTCGGTGGGTCCCCTATTTAGCCCCTTCCCCAATTGATGTTGACCCAGGATTAGTAAACCCGTCCCATTATCGGGGGGGTGTTGCCTCCAAAAGTGATGAATCCCCACTAAAAGGGGACACCCCCCTATTAATCAACCAGGGGTTTATTAATCCGGGGTGAACATTAGAGGGAAGCTGGAGGGCTGATTTTTCTTCTGGCAGGACTGCTGGCAAGTGCAGACCTTCCAGACCTACCGACAAGTCCTCACGGGCGAGGCCCTTCAGACCATGAACCAAGCCTCAGAGGCGATGGCCGTCTCGGACGAACTGATCACTTTTTGGGGTTACTTGATATGGGTGGCCCGTCGATTTGTTTGGGGATCCCGAACAAAAATGATGGGTTTATCTTTTGGATCCCTTTAAAGCCAACCAAATCGGGGTACCCTCAAAAAAAGACAAGCCCACATACTTTTTGGGTTTACACAAGTTTTTGTGGGAGCTTGTTTCGGGCCATCCGCCAGGAACCCGTTGACAAATGTCTTAGGGCGGGGTAGCAACCCGTGTTTGAGCGTGGACTCGCCCCCTTTGGCAAACATGGAAGTGCCCAAGTAGCCAATTCAAGAGCATGTGCTCTTTCCCAAAGATGTGCTGCGACAACATCTTGTTGCAGTTTCTGCATATTGCTTATCCCAGGTGCTAAACAGTTCATATTTGTTGATCCTCCCAAAAGCAAACCAAGAGTCGGAACTGGATAGGCAATTGTTCACTTTTCCGGACAGCCTACGTTTCACAGCAGGGCAGCTGCATCCTCACGCCTCAGGAGTTGACAACTGCACAGATTCTGGCGAAGGCCGACTGGCGCCATAGCGCCTCGGCGATCAAAATCAGAAAAGCAGTGTGGCTGGACAACGGTATCCCTTGCTGTTGATCCGTGTACCCAGAAATCTGATGTAGGATGCAAACCCATGTGGCTAATGCATTTGTTTTCCAAACTTTGCGGATCATCAGATGTATGCCACCAAAACTCCACCGTGCATGCGGTGTGCCACTGGGGCAATGTGGCCTAGCCCAAGTTCTCCTGGATGTAGGCCAACAAGTAGGTTGTTCCGGGCTGTGGCGTGTCTTGTGCATTCCCCGCTGTGATCTTGTTTGCCACAACGTATCCTGAATCTGACTCCTGTATCTCCAGCAGTGTTGTTGTCAATGTAGTTCGAGGCCACGGTTGTTGCTGCATGAATACGATCCTCTGCGGGTGCTGAAAAACGATTCTCCGTAGCTGGAGTACCCAAATGTATCCCGTGGACGGATTGTACTCGCTGCAAAGTGCCCCCTGAACAGTCCTGTGTAAAAGCGTGCAACAGACATGGCTGTCGATGTGTGCATGGCTTTCAACTCCTCGGTGAATTGTACAGGGCTCCTTAAAAGATACATTTTGCAACCATTTGAAACGTGTTGCTTTTTCCACCAAAATTAAGGGAAACCTTGCCATTTACAAGTTGCAATGTTCAGGTGTATAATGCATCCGGATCCTTGCTGTACTGAGGTGCTGCCTGTAGACAACAGGCAAAAAACAAACTCCTCCAGGGTGTCGTGTGTGTGTGTGTGGAAAGTCCATCGGGGCATGCAAGGACTTGTAGGCACCCTCGGTGTTGAGCACTGTCAGGTCAGGATTTAACATGTCTCCCTAAAACGGCTGCAGGCGTGCATCAAAGCATTGTCTGGTGCACAAGCACAAAGTGTCGTGCGGCAAACGTGTCCGAAATGTCAATTCTGTAAAAGGTTGTAGAAGCAAGAGCGTCGATCCATGGCGATGCATCTAAACTACGATGCCGGCTGATCTAGGAGTGAAACACACATGACATGTGTACTGCGCAACTGATGTTTAGGACACTGTGCAAACTGGTGTAGCGCAAACTGTGTGAAGCTGTTTGTAGTGACCTCAAGGCCGGTTGTGCACATGTCTTGTATCACCGCTGACAATCTTGGTTAATTTGTCAGCAGCATTGTCCTTTGAGAAGACTTTGTTTAAATGATTTTGCTCTTTCCCAGTAGTTGTATGAAGAGGTGTCGCAGCTGTTTGGAGTGCCTTCTCTCATTGTAATTTAGTTTGCAGCTGTCTGCGTGTGTCCTGATGTTGGTGCGTACTTCAACAGCCTCCTTGATGAACTTACCTGGTCGCGAAGTGCATTTCGCACCACTGTTCAGAACCATGGAATGACTCGATTCCCCTAAAAATACCAACAAACAGTGGTTTCAACCACGGTTTCTGAGGTGGTGGGAAATGGTTTTCGTCCATCCACAGTAAGTCTGTGACCTGCTTGGAACGTCGTCCAAAATGCTTTGGTCGTTGCATTAAAAGCAACTCATAGGTGATCCACCAGAACTGCCTAGCTCTGCGTGTGGGTTTGACAGGTTCGGAGGTTCCGAGGCTCGGGATATTTCTTGGCCGTTTGTAGAGCCTGGAATTTCAATGCAGGGTCCTATGGCTGGGAAGATCAAATCGGGTTTCGGTTTCAGTCAGAGCTTCAGAGCGAACATAGGGGACGAGGCCTTCAGGGCTTCCCAGATTACAATCAAATCTTGCTTGCTTGCTGCCGTTAGCCAAGCCAAACAATTTCACAGTGCGCGTGTTTTTGCCAGGAGTTTTTCCTGTTGGGCTCCGTTTAGCTTGGAACATGTTGTTTCCCCAGCGAGCAGCGTATTTTGCTTCGGCCAATGACGCCTCGCGAAGTCAAGAATCGTCATGGCCATAATAGTCTTCCCTCCAAATGGGTGACCATCAGGCTTTGCGGTTTGCTCTACATGCTTTGGTAGATGGGATCCAGACATGCTTGGTGTGTTTCAGTGGTTCATCTAGACATTGATTGAGAGCTTCTGGCAAGCTCTGAGGCTTCCAGACACCCTCCGGCAGCTCAACATGGCGCCCAACAAAACAGTTGGGGGATCCCCTTGTTGGGTTCCGTGCGAATTTGCGAGGGAGGTTCCCTTTGACCTACTTGCTATGTTTAAACATGCATTTGGCAAGCCATCCGCAAAGAAAGCTGCGCAGGATTGAGTGAGACAAGTTTCCGGAGCGCTTTGCATTTGCTGGGAGGCGCAAATTTTGATTCGACAACATATCATTCTGGTATGGGTGTTGGAGGTATGAAGGATATGCTACTTGTGGTGTACAACAGGCTTAAAACGGTCACCCCACACCTGAGATTGTCATTGTGCTAAGGAAGCAGCTGGCAGTGGTACCTGGACCTGGCTGCAGCTTGTCAGACATGGCAGGGAATCTATCACTATATACTGGATTTTGTTTTCTTCCCGGGGGACTTAGGCAAATGGAGGTCATGCATTTCCACAGGCCAATTTGATGCTCTGAAGCTCACGTGGCACCTGACACATGAGAAGCGCCGCTTGCTGTGAAGGGAGTGGTTGGATCAGTTGGTCGGCGCGCGAAGGGCCTCGTTTTTGATAGTCCCCCCTTGAGCCGTTGGCAGGGATGTTCAGCAACGCAGGAGGGAACGGTCAAAAGAATCCTCATCCAATATACATATATATATATATAGAGATGTATTGAGGGGTGCATCCGTGAAGGGGTCCCTGTTCTATGGCAGTTCCAATAGTTTTCCGTAGGAAGGGAATGACATGTACTCGCACAAGCTAAAGCCCACCCGGGCGTAAGAAGAGCTTGCCCGCAATAACTCTCGACTCGGAGGGAATGAAGGCACTTTGTGCAGAGTCCCAGTGGGGTATGTGATGGTCACTTGACTTGTCGTGCCAAAAGTAAAGCGGGGGACGACATTGCGACAAGACTTTCCCAATTCGTTTGAAGGAAGCCCAAAAGGGAGGGGGGATGTTCTTTATGTGACATTTGCTTAAGAGTATGTCTTTGTCTCTCTTGGTTTACCAGCGGGCTTAAGCAAATGGAAGTTATTCTTTCTAGACCCATTTGGAGCCCCCGGTGAAACGTTCCAACCAGTCTGGTTTCACCCTTTGTTTTTGGTCAGGTACAGCTGGCCATCTACGTATCCTTGGACCTGTTCCTTGAACGCATTTGGGTGGCTCGGCTTTCTGTTAGGATTCGTGCCGCGCAAAACGGCGTAACAATTTTCCGTTTGGTTCCATTTAGTACCATCCAAAAGGGTTTTGAAAACTCACACACATACACATTTGTTGTGAAACTGCTTGTAGCCGTTTGACGAATGAGCGTCTCGCATCGCCACGAATCCCAGAGGTTCGAGTGGGCCTTCTGATGTGGCTTTTGCTTTTTTGCCGTGGCCAGTCCTATTTTTGTGCAGAGTAGCTTTTGTGAGTCAAGGGAAACCACAGCCTAACGCTGATTTGGTCGGGAATGCGGGTCATTAGAAGACAGCAAGTCCTGTTGAAAAGGCCATCACCTGTCGTCCATGATGGGCAGAGCGCACTTGAACCATAAGCAAAAACAAAGCATCAACGCTGGTTGTTAAATTATTCATCGGAGGAAGAACGAATCAACATCTCCATGCTCTGGTGGTTTCAATTGAGGGAGTGAGATGCGGATTGAGTTCCTTCCGTGACATTTGGGGAGCACCGCTCTGGCAACACATATGGCAGCGCACAGACCCCACAACTTTCACAAGGGAGCCCAAAACGGGTTATTCTAAACTGTTTGGCTGGTTTTCCCTTTTGGCTTGCCCTTTTAAAGCCACAAAAACGAGGGGGCCATTTCAAAACAAAACCTCCATCCCCCCCCCAAAAAAAAAGGAAGAAAGAAGAGAGCAGAGACCAAACCGATCAGATGAAAGCGCCCGGGCGCACCGCGCGGCTCGCTCCGGGGAGGTTTCCGCTGGCGGCGAGCGCTCCGCACTTCGCGCGGCTGGAGCTGGCCGGCGGCTGCACGGCGCTGCTGGCGAGCGCCTGCTCCGTGGCGGTGGGCCACTGCGCGCTGCTGTGCCCCCATGCAAGAGACGGGAAGGGACGGGGAGACGAAAGGGGGAGAAACCTGGGGCCCTGGAACCGGAAAAGCAGTGCTTGTGAGAAGTACGGGGAGACTGGGAGGGGGGGAAAAAGCCTAGGGCACTGGAACCTTTTTGGAAAAACGGTTGGGTTTGTGGAAGGAGATGGGAACAAGGTTGGGGGGATTGTTGGAGGAAAGGGAATTTGAATTGATCGAATGTCTTGATCATACCCCTAAACGCCACTGGGGTGATATTTCTGTTCATTATGCTATTTTTGAGGCTGAAAGGACTACCTCTTTGGGTTTGCTGGACCGGGTGGGGACTAGAGGACAAGCAGGAGGAAATACGCCGTGGGCCAGCCGGATTTTCGCCTCAGGTGTTTATGTATCCAGTCGCCTGGATATACCAACACACGTTGGGGTTTCAACCATGGTTTCTTGGGTGAAAAGGGGTTGGACAGGTCCAGGGATTTGCGCGGGGAATCTTCCACAACAAGTGAAGCGATCGGCCTGGGATGGGGTCAGCGAGATGGGCCGATTGCTTGGAGCCTGACTCCTGGGGGGCGAAGGAAAATTGGAGACTCTACGATCTCTGGAAGAACTTGCTTGCCGGGACCCGGCGCCTGCCGGGGCCCGCCTAGCTTGCCGGGACCCGGCGCCTGGCTTGCCGGGGCCCGCCTAGCTTGCTGGGACCCGGCGCCTGGCTTGCCGGGGCCCGCCTAGCTTGCCGGGACCCGGCGCCTTGGAAGAACTTGCTTGCCGGGACCCGGCGCCTGCCGGGGCCCGCCTAGCTTGCCGGGACCCGGCGCCTGGCTTGCCGGGGCCCGCCTAGCTTGCTGGGACCCGGCGCCTGGCTTGCCGGGGCCCGCCTAGCTTGCCGGGACCCGGCGCCTTGGAAGAACTTGCTTGCCGGGACCCGGCGCCTGCCGGGGCCCGCCTAGCTTGCCGGGACCCGGCGCCGTGGAAGAACTTGCTTGCCGGGACCCGGCGCCTGCCGGGGCCCGCCTAGCTTGCCGGGACCCGGCGCCTTGGAAGAACTTGCTTGCCGGGACCCGGCGCCTGCCGGGGCCCGCCTAGCTTGCCGGGACCCGGCGCCTGGCTTGCCGGGGCCCGCCTAGCTTGCTGGGACCCGGCGCCTGGCTTGCCGGGGCCCGCCTAGCTTGCCGGGACCCGGCGCCTTGGAAGAACTTGCTTGCCGGGACCCGGCGCCTGCCGGGGCCCGCCTAGCTTGCCGGGACCCGGCGCCGTAGAAGAACTTGCTTGCCGGGACCCGGCGCCTGCCGGGGCCCGCCTAGCTTGCCGGGACCCGGCGCCCTGAAAGAACTTGCTTGCCGGGACCCGGTGCCTGGCTTGCCGGGGCCCGCCTAGCTTGCCGGGACCCGGCGCCCTGGAAGAACTTGCTTGCCGGGACCCGGCGCCTGCCGGGGCCCGCCTAGCTTGCCGGGACCCGGCGCCCTGAAAGAACTTGCTTGCCGGGACCCGGCGCCTGGCTTGCCGGGGCCCCGGGACCCGGCGCCCTGGAAGAACTTGCTTGCCGGGACCCGGCGCCCTGAAAGAAACTTGCTTGCCGGGACCCGGCCGGGACCCGGCGCCTGCCGGGGCCCGCCTAGCTTGCCGGGACCCGGCGCCCTGAAAGAACTTGCTTGCCGGGACCCGGCGCCCTAGCTTGCCGGGACCCGGCGCCCTGGAAGAACTTGCTTGTCGGGACACGGCGCCTGGCTTGCCGGGACCCGCCTAGCTTGCCGGGACCCGGCGCCCTGAAAGAACTTGCTTGTCGGGACACGGCGCCTGGCTTGCCGACCCGCCTAGCTTGCCGGGACCCGGCGCCCTGAAAGAACTTGCTTGCCGGGACCCGGCGCCTGCTGGGGCCCGCCTAGCTTGCCGGGACCCGGCGCCCTGGAAGAACTTGCTTGCCGGGACCCGGCGCCTGCCGGGGCCCGCCTAGCTTGCCGGGACCCGGCGCCCTGGAAGAACTTGCTTGCCGGGACCCGGCGCCTGCCGGGGCCCGCCTAGCTTGCCGGGACCCGGCGCCCTGGAAGAACTTGCTTGCCGGGACGCGGCGCCTGGCTTGCCGGGGCCCGCCTAGCTTGCCGGCACCCGGCGCCCTGAAAGAACTTGCTTGCCGGGACCCGGCGCCTGCCGGGGCCCGCCTAGCTTGCCGGCTCCCGGCGCCCTGAAAGAACTTGACTTGCTTGCCGGGACCCGGCGCCTGCCGGGGCCCGCCTAGCTTGCCGGGACCGGGCGCCCTGAAAGAACTTGCTTGCCGGGCCCGCCTAGCTTGCCGGGACCCGGCGCCTGGCTTGCCGGGGCCCGCCTAGCTTGCCGGGACCCGGCGCCCTGGAAGAACTTGCTTGCCGGGACCCGGCGCCTGCCGGGGCCCGCCTAGCTTGCCGGCACCCGGCGCCCTGAAAGAACTTGCTTGCCGGGACCCGGCGCCTGCCGGGGCCCGCCTAGCTTGCCGGCACCCGGCGCCCTGAAAGAACTTGACTTGCTTGCCGGGACCCGGCGCCTGCCGGGGCCCGCCTAGCTTGCCGGGACCGGGCGCCCTGAAAGAACTTGCTTGCCGGGCCCGCCTAGCTTGCCGGGACCCGGCGCCTGGCTTGCCGGGGCCCGCCTAGCTTGCCGGGACCCGGCGCCTTGGAAGAACTTGCTTGCCGGGACCCGGCGCCTGCCGGGGCCCGCTCAGCTTGCCGGGACCCGGCGCCCTGAAAGAACTTGCTTGCCGGGACCCGGCGCCGGCGCCCAGCTTGCCGGGAACTTGGCGGCCTAACAAAAACTATCGTTGCCGGGACCCTGCGCCCAAGAAGAACTTGATTGCCGGGACCGGCGCCTGGTTTGCCGGGAATCCGCGCCCTGAAGAACTTGGTTGCCGGGACCCGGCGCCGAAGCCCAGCTTGCCGAAACCCGGCGAGCTGGAAAATTGAGGGGATCCGGCGCTGTGGGCGCTGGGACCCACTGAAAGTACTTGGCCTTGCAAATTGTTGTTTCTTTGGTTTGCCATTTTTGCACATTCAAAGCGTTGAAGGGGACCTTGTTGTTTTTGAGTAGGTTCGCTGTCTAGAATGAATCCAGACATTGTAAGTTAGAGCAATGTCGTCGGACGACGAGGGCCGCAGTCGTAGCCGGTCGTCGTCATCCTCCTCATCACCGAGTTCATTTTCCACGAAGCCCCCTTGGCGCAAATTAGGGTTTGTGCATTTTTTCTGTTTGTTTCTCCGTTATGTTTTTTCGACTTGCCCAGTTGATTGAATACACACCAGTGACGCGCTCAGGTTGGCAGAGCGGGTTTTCTGGCAAGCCGGCCGTGGGAAGTTGCGCTAACCCCGCCAGTCGAGAGCGACCTTGACATTAGGGACAATGACAATGCCTCTGACACAATGGCCAAGGACACAGACGGGGACAGCGAAGTTATGACTGTCAGCACGATTGACTCCGGGGAATATGCCCACCTCTTTCGGACATTGAAGGCACCAACAACAATAGCAGCAACTTCCATGACAAAGATTGTGGAGAGCGAGGGGTCCTGGATCAATTCACCAACAACGACAACTACACTGCCAAGAAGATGTGTCAAGCGATGACGGTGGCTCTGACTCAGACATCTGATCTGGGCTGGCGGTGAGTTCAGTCTTGAAATCTGAAAGCCCGTCCAAATTAATAACTATTGTACATTTGTGTGTGTGACAGGGTGCCTGTAGCAGCTGCAACTCTCAAGCATCCTATGTCACGTGGCAAAACAAGTGTTTGATGCACTCAGCAGTCATTGTAATTAGTTGTTAATTTGGCCAAATTGGCACACAATCAATTTGGAGTTTGGCCTGGCGCGTGACCTTACCCCGACCGATTGACCGGCTGGTTGTGCCCTGGTATCTTTTTGCATGAGCGGCCTGGCGCTTGCAAAATAAAACAGCAGCTGGAGAGTGTGGGGCATGGCTATGAATGCATGTCTGCTCTCCGCAACAAGCGTGAAAACCAACGCAGGCGCAAGTCATGTCTTTCTTAGTTTGGCTAACGTCAGTCATGCAAACAACAGTTTGTTGCACATCTTGCATTCCATCGCATGTGACTGGCAAGACATGTCAGGGACATGTGCGACGCCTTGGACCTTAAAGGTGGGGTGAACCTGATGTGTTTTGCAAGAGGGGAAATCACTGCCGGAAAGAACCTGAACTCTGGTCTTTGACAAACTGAGGATTTTTGTTGAAACTGATTGTTATTGACCAGGGCCAAGTACGTTCCCAATGCCACAAATGGCGCAATGGTGGTCAAATGAGGCCAAGATCGTTGCCACATGCCAAACAAGTGCCAAGCATTTTTCCTTTGCCCTAAGGACACACGCAATGCTCCATTTTTAAGATGGTGTTGAAAGTTCAGCTATATTCCGACTTCAAAGGTGGGACCAGGTCCACGAAAAGCTTATGAAAACAAAAGCCGTTAAACAGTCTTAGACTTAGAGCATTGAGTCAGCAGTCAGCACAAGCCTATAATTAATACATTATTATCCGGTCTGCCTTGTTTTTGCAAAACACCGCCTTGCAAGCCGGGCGCTGACGGAAGAAGTTGGTTGCCGGCGCCTGGCTTGCCGGAACCCGGCGCCCTGGAAGAACTTGCTTGCCGGGGCCCGGCGCCTGGCTATTGCCAGGGCCCGCCTAGCTTGCCGGGACCCGGCGCCCTGAAAGAACTTGCTTGCCGGGACCCGGCGCTTGAAGTGCCGGGGAAATTGGTTGCCGGTGCCCGGCGCCCTGGAAGAATTTTGTTGCCGGGACCTGGCGCCCAGGTTGCCGCCGCCGAGTATGGCTGCCTCACAAAACACAATCCCTGAGAAGTAAAACTTCCCTCATGATGAAACGCTGCTTGTTTTCTGGTTGGATTGGTTGTACCATGAGGGCACCAACTACTCAACCTCATTTTGTTTGTGGTTTGTGCTCCTTGGTGACTGGAAATGCAACAATTCAACTTGCAAGGTACCCCCCCGAAAAATCATGGTTTTCTTTTTGAGGTGTCCCACGGCTTCCCACAACACAAGGCTTCCCCCGAGCCGCGCTCGCAACGCTGGAGGTACCTGGCCTGGGTCGCCAGCGACGTGGCGGCGAAGCTTCGAGCCTGGCGCACGCCGCGAGAGGCGGAAGCGCTCCTCGAGGCGGGCGGCGGGCTTCCGCCGAGAGCTTCCGACGTTGTGGGGCATGCGGACGCGAGAGATGCAGGGAATGAGTTGGAAAGACTAAAGGAATTTGTGGGTTTCCCACATTCCCTACTGAGCACCTTAAAGGAGACCACCGCTTGGGATGTGTTTGTAAGGCTGATTCCCTCATGCCCGGCTGAGCACCAGCAAGAAAACGGGTAACCCCAAAATGGAAGTAAATGCAAAGGACCAGAAGTCGTCCATATCCCAGTGGTTTCATTTTGATCCATACGGTAAGTCTCAAATAGGTAAGGTCTCTCCCACTCACCTCGGTGGTTTCTAGCCATCCGATTCCAGACAGTTGTTTTCTGTTTTGTTAGTCTGGTTTAGTGGTGGTAGTTTCCGAATTTAAGCCACTAAAAGCTGTCGACTTTTAGCCGGGGATTTGAGGACGGCCCAACAGAAGGCGCCTGTGGGAGGTACCTAGAAGATCAGTTTTTCCCTCCAAGAGGACCCGGTCCTCTTGGAGGGAAAAACTGATCTTCCAGGAAATTATACAGGTCTGAAGATTCAAGTCTTCTCCCAAAGCAAGTCATGTCTCAAGCCTTCCTGGAGATGATGCCTTGTTTTTCTTTCTTTTTTGAGGAAGTGCCATGTGAATCGGGGTACAGGTGTAACCCTGGGTTCAATCATGAGCTAGAAATTAGGATCTGAAAGACAGTCAGAAGGTAGACATCCATGACTCTTCGGAAAAAAATGCATATTGTCAGTGTCAGTATAAGTATAGATAGATTACACCCAAGCTGGAAGGAAGGTTTGGAAGGGCCGACTTTGCTCTAACGACCGCTTTGTGGACAGTACTTGGCATTTTGGATATGTGGACACATTGAAAAGAAGGTAGTGCCTCGGGCTATTTCAGCGTATTTCTGGAGACAGAAAGGAGTGGCGATTTCCATTTTTCAGGACTTGGGGAATGAAGGAGTTTTCATACCAGGGAACCTTCCCTTAGTCTTCAATTTGTTCTTAAGATGCGTTGTTTAGTTCCACCTGTTGGTTTTAAACGGAATCTATTGAATATATGTTTATTTTGCCAGGGACTTCAGCAAATGGAGGTGAAGAATTAGCCATTGGCCTCAGAAATCATTTCCTGCGGCAACCAGAGGCACCAGAACCTGTGGATGACGTGGATGAGACGAATGGGGAGGCATCGGGTAGAGATGATCCTTGGTGTGTGCGGTTGGTTTGTGTTTTGTGCTTACGGAATGTTCAAAGAGAGCCACCCCAAGACAAACTCGTCGGGGAAGTGTCCCATCGGTGTTAGGAATCTAGGGAACACTGGGAAATTGCCCATTCCTGCGCATGTTTCGAGATTCCCTAGTCAGCGTTGTCAGCAACCCAGATGGATGTTTGAACAACTCCAAACCAAAGGTTGTGAATAGGCGAAGTCCTGCACCACTTTGAACCCATGAAAAAAGCTGTTTGTCAATATTTACAGGGGAATCATCATTCCAGGGTTTCTTAAGTGGTGCAGGATTTCGTCCATCCACAGTATGTTACTTGCCGCCTTTTGTGTCGTGGGGGCTGAACGTGTGTTTTCCGCGCAGTTGAGATTAGAGCGAGGCCTTCTTCAATCGCTATGACCAGCGTATTGCCATGGTTGTGGGAGTTTGTGGTTTGCTGGTTGCCACTTTCTGTATTACTCTTGAACAATTCCCTACTTCAAGCAGCCATTGCATGAATAAGCGCTTACTCTGGGGCATTGTTTGGTTGAAAGTCGTCGAAAATCACCTCTTTACTTGTGGCTCAACCCAAAGCACGGGTTCCCCAAAACAAGATTCCTCAGGCAATGGGTTCCTGTCTAGAGCTCGTGAGTGATAGATGGGAAACCTCCATGTTCAAGTCGTCAGGGACACAAGGTCCACCCACTGTCTCTAAGATAGGGTGTGAGATGAAGGGGACGAGGGAGAGAGAGAGAGAGAGGAAATATATATATATATATATAATAATAATGATGATAATAATAATAATAATAGTAATAATGATAATGATAATAGAGAGAGAGAGAGAGCGAGAGAGAGAGAGAGGCACGGTGAGATGCCTTCATTCGTTTCATGCATTCGCTCCGCTCAACGTTTGGTCACCCTCATTTACGGCCTGGAATCACGGGTGACAGGATGAGGAGTGAGGGAATAATGTCAATCCCTTTTCCCCTCATAGTAAAAGCGTCCCCCCTATTTAAACAAAGCAAAAAACAAACGAACACTTCGATTGTTATATATATATATATATGTATATATGTATTCGACCACACATATATATATATATATATATATATATATATCAAGAAATGAACACACGACAACTTCTATTGGACTTTTTACTGGCAAGTCGGGACGGACGGTCGGTCCTCGGCGGCTTTCCCACCTCCAAGGACCCCTTGGCGCCAGCGCACCTCTGCGCCCTGCTGGGGGGGGTGACTCGACTCCCACGAAAACCGCTTTTCGCCGAGGGAGGGGGGGGCGAAGCAGCGGGGAGTCTCCTTTGGGTAGTTCAAGAAAGCATTTGCTTATGGTTGCGTTTTTGGTTTTTTAGGCCATCCGGCTCTTTGCTCAAGGCTTGTTTTATCCGGTTCTTTGCGTAAGGTTTTTTTTTTGGTTTTTAGGCCATCCGGTTCTTTGTCCAAGATATGTGTTCGGGTGTTTAGGCCATCCGACTCTTTGCTCAAGGCTTGTTTTATCCGGTTCTTTGCGTAAGGATTTTTTTGGTTTTTAGGCCATCCGGTTCTTTGTCCAAGATATGTGTTCGGGTTTTTAGGCCATCCGACTCTTTGCTCAAGGTTTGTGTATCCGTTGCTTTGCTTAAGGTTTTTTGGGTTTTTAGGTCATCCGGTTCAGGTTTTTGAGAGATTTTTGCGGGTTTCGTGGTTGGGTGTCCGAATTTAAGCCATGACAAGTGACACGTTGAGCGGGGCATCTGAGGACAGCCCAGTTTTGGAGGTTTACTCAGAGGCTAATTCAAAGTCAAGGACCCATAAGCATGTCGGATTGGATCCTCTTAACAAAAAGCATTCACGAAACCCGAGCTGCGACAGATGACACAACCGAGCTGTAGCCGAGGAACTATCAATGCCCGGCGAGATAGAACCCAAGAGTTGCCGTTGTGAGTTCTGCTCATTTTTACTGAGCCCCCCTTTAAAAAATGGCAATCAAAGCAAAGACGTGCATATGCTTTCAGCCTGTTTTTTTTTACTCTTCTAGGAAACGGATTGGATGCGGTTTTTGTGGATCCACCCCTGTAGGATATCAAAAGAGTATTAACAGAGTACTAAAAAAGAACGTTTACAATGGGAAAGAACAGGTGAAATCCACAAAGAGCGCATCTAACCCGTTTCCTAGAACTCTGGGTTCATCTGGGTTCTGTTCATTCAGATTGTGGTTTTCCCTAACGGTCGTCCCGTGTATTACGGACCTTTTGATGACCCTTGTGCACCATGGGCTTGACTTACGTATTTGCACCGTGAATTCGACCTTTTGTTGGTGGTTCCAGCAGCCATCCGTTCGTAATCTGAGTTGGTTTAGTTTTGGGGTGCCCATTTCACCCACCACCGGTGGTCTCGACGTGTTTGGATCAGACAACGTTTGGACGGCCCAACTTCTGGCCCCCTTTCAGCCAACCCCAAAAAAGGCACCCTCGAAAGCTGACAGCCATGGGCCTATGGGTCGGCTGAACCGGGGTAAATTTCCGGGGTTTCCTTCGAAACCAACCCCAGGTCCCCCAGCTAGGTGCGCTTTCTCACCGTTTCTTTTTTGGTTGGGAGGGTTCCCCTACTCAAATAGACTACAGAATAAAAGACCGGGTACCCTTATTCTATCCTCTCAAATCTGGAGGACCTAGATTATTATTGTCATCTGCACGTAATGTTGTTAGTTCCCCAACAGCTGAAAGGGGTTTACTGAGGATTCCTAAGCCAAGCTGCAGGCGTTGCATTTGGGGTGGGTCACCGTGCTGAAGCTGGTGCTCTTCGTTGCCCTGGTGGCGGTGGCCCTGCAGCGTGGGGGCGCCCGACTTCGTCGAACGCGAGAACCGGACCCCGCCGCCCCCAGGGCGTGGTGGGGTTCATGTGTGCGTTTGGCGGTTTTGCTGGTTTTCTCCTTTTTTTTGGGGAGGGGGGGAAGACCCACATGTTGGGGTTCTGAAGTACTAGCTTAGCATTGGGCCGGCCAATTCTAATTTAGTATTGGGCATGTTTTTTGGGGGGGAGTTCCCAGAGATTGCTTTGGAATACTAGTCTAGTATTGGGTCGATGCAACATGAATATTGGGCATTTGTTGGGTCCAAATCTTTGTTGTACTTTTTCTGTTTTCGTTTCTTTCTTTTCTTTTCTTTTTTTTTGGGGGGGAACTCTCGAATTTTCAAACTGGCTGCCCATGTTACGCCAGTTTGACTATACCCGCACGAGTGGTGGTGGTGTCATTGTTTCTGAGCAGCATCTCACGCTCTAAACAAGCCACATTTGGCAAGTTCCTTTTGTAGCACGGAGTTTCTGTCACTTGTCAGACCCCCTCCATCCGGCTGGTGCAGATGCAAATGAGGCAGCCCTTGATAGGGTGTTTGTGTTTTGGTCTTTGTGCTAAGTCCATGCTTGTTTTGCGATTCTTCCGAAAGGACTCCACAAGGGAACCCATGGGTAATTTCCCATGTTCAATGAACTCTTTAGGGCACAGGCTGTGAAGCAGGGGTCTGGAAAGTCATATTTCCAGACCCCCTACACAGCCTGTGCGCAGAGTCCGAACCCTTTCCGCACTTTGACTGTTCCGTGGCAGTGCCCTGAACTCTTCCTCCCATTTCCGTTTCAGAATATGCTTTAAGTGTGCCTTAGTTTTAGAGGGTATCTATCACTGGAAAAATGAACATGTGTTTTTCCAGGGGGCGCTTTTTGGAAACGGCAGGTGCGGTGATCAAGCTCGTTGGAAACTTGGTCAATGGGGGAAACCTTTGGTTTCGCTCCAGAAATTATTTGTTTGGTGAAGGGAAAGCGTCCCCTAAAAAGAACGCGCCCAAATGTTTACCAGACTGTGGCGATTGGGTAGATGATTTTTGGACAGCTGAACAGCGGCAGGGGCCTCTTTCATAGTTTAAGGGCAATGGGGGCTTTTCAGGTGTGGGGTTTAAAGGTATATGGCTGTGGGTCAGTCTATTTTAGTGGGGCTTGGGTTGTTCACTGGGGGTACGGGCTTTTGACCTATGGCCATATATCAATTGTGCCAGTCGCCATGCCTTTATGCCTTTGAAGCTTAGTAGATCGATATCTCAACCGCCCGCAGCGTGTCGCTTCCTCGGCCCAGACTGCACCCAGGGGACGTGGTGGCGGAGAACCCCTTCTGGCTGGTCGCTGCTTTGCTCTTGGGGGTGGCCTTTTGGCATTCCAGCCGGGGCCCCAAGAACAGTAAAACCAGCAGAACCCAAGCGCAACGCGAATCGCACACCGCGCCAAGAAGCAGATTTTCATACCGCCCCCAGTCCACTAAACACGGAAGTTCTTGGATGTTGATTCATCTTCAGTCATTCTTAACATGTAGCAAGATGTCAACGAAGGTCGCACACACACACACACACACACACACACACACACACACACACACACACACACACACAGGGGGGGGAAATTCACTATTGGGTGTTCGGCCAAGTTAGTAAGAGGTTAGTTTATTGGTTTTGTTCACCCCCCCAAACAAGGTTAACCACTCTGATTGCGGGACTTGTAAGTGGCTTATAACTTAGGTTACCAACAAGTTGCTATCTTGGCCGAACAACCAAGAAGTGTGTTGCTTTGCGGGTTGTGTGTTTCGTTGTTTGTGTTGATGTTGTGTAGTGCTCGTTGTTAGCGCAGTGTTGTTTTGTTGTTTTGTTCCTGCTGTGTTGTGTGGTGTGATGTTGTTGTTGTGTGGTTGTTGTTCTCGTTTTTTTTTTTTAGATACGCAGCGCCACATTCGTTGTTTGTGTGTCTGTGTTTGTTTGTTTGCTTGTTTGTTTGTTTGTTTGTTTGTTTGTATGTTTTGTTTGTTTGTTTGTTTGGTTGGTTGGTTGGTTGGTTGGTTGGTTGGTTGGTCGTTTGTTTCTTTGTTTGTTTGGTTGGTTGGTTGTTCTTCTTAGGAGTTCCAGAAGGCCCCCCACGACGGTTTATAGCATGGATGGGGACTTTTGAGCCACTCTTGTCGTACCACTTGGTGAAGTATCACTAGTCCAAATTCGATCACAGACCCATGAAGAATGGTCTTCGCACAGGGAGTGGGAGTGTCCCGAAAAGAATTGCCAGGTGAGTTTCCAGCTTCTCCTTTGTTGGGGGGTGTCCCGTAAGTGGCGGATAGTTCTCCTTGAGCCTTAGACTTGGAGATGGAAAGCATCTGAGTTGCTTGATTGTTCTTTCATTTGCTTAGCATGGCTCCTAGGTCCCCCAGCTCGGTGCCTTTTTTGGAGGAGGGCTCCCCTACTAACATAGACTACAGAAAAAAGGGTACCCTTATCCTAACCTCTCTACTGGAGGTCCTAGTCTGTGTTTGTTGGTTTGAAGGGCAACATGGTCACGACTAGCTAACAATGCCACTTGTTTGTGGTACTCAAGACACAAATTCAGGTGTTCCCTGGTTGATGGTTTGGTTTGGTGGTTTGGGGGTGTGATTCCCAGTTCCTTTCGAAGACAAGTGGGGAAGGTACCCCCGAGTTTGTCCAAACCACCAAACCAAACAACCAATTAGTGGCAAGGTGAAGAAAAAAAGCCTTTTGTTGAGGGTGCGTGGACAGCCACGCGACATCCAAGCCCCCAATCCAAACCACCCTTTCTGGGGGGGGGAGGGAAGCTGAAACGATGTTATTTCTCAGAGGACCGAAGACACACATGAAAGTGTACGTCTCCCTGGGCGTGAGTGCTTTTGATTTTGCGTTAAAACGCTAACAAAAGGGGTACAGTAGAAAATCAAAAACTCGTTTGCTAGCAACTTGAAGTTTGGTCGTAGGCCAAAGGAGCACTTTACTTTATTTGAAAACTGACCAAAAGGGTCCTTCACCAAAAAGTGCAATTATGTTCATTGCCTCCCCAGAAAAGGCATTGTGATGTATTTCTGTACGGGGGATCCACACCCTCCTGCAACAGCCTCCAAACAAATCACACCCCCAAAGACACCTGCTTGACAAAATTGACCAAACCGCCAGGTCTGGCCAGACATATTATGGCGCGCCTCCGCAAACCCCCTGAAGTTTTATGTCTTCTCAGTTTGGGGCACTCCTTCAGAATGGTTTGTGTGGCTGGGAGAAGGTTCCGGGCCCGTTCCAAGCCATCCAAAGACAGCAGACACCAGGCTTCCAGCAGCTGGCGAAGCGAGCCGGCGGCGGCGGCTGTGAGAGGCGGATGTGCGTCATGTTCACCATGGATATGTAGCGTTGTTCTCAGGACTACTAGGTCCCCCAGCAACTGGTGCCCTTTCTCACCCAACTTTTTTGGTTGGGAGGGTTCCCTTACTAAAATAGACTGCAGAAGTACGTTGGTACCCTTACTCTAACCTCTCTATTGGAGGACCTAGACTATTATTTTCATCAATGCACGGTATTGTTGTTAGCTCCCCAGCAGCTGAAAGCTATGAGTTCTAAAACCCCAGCTAGGCGATAAGGGGTGGTTTGGACTGCAGGGAGGGTTCCAGAAGGGTTCCGGAGGGTTTCGGGGCAGTTGGGGGTACCACCTGGGCTAAAAAAATATATTATCAGTATCACCATCACGTGATTGTTGATTCAGTCATCAGTGACATGACTGATTTGACGTATTGTGTACCGCATGGTGAAGCACACGGATTTGTCCGACCTTGAGGTGCCACCTTCGCTTCGGCGCGGAGTCAGGCCGGGGGGGGTGGGGAGGGTACTGCAACGATGTGGTTTCCATGGCGTTCCTATGACTCGCCCTCGCCGTCCACCCCGAACACGGAATTTCAGGCTTCCCCAAAAAAGGTGTGTTTGGCCGGTGGTTTATTTGACAGGTCCCCCAAAAAGGAGCGTGGTTGCGCTCTTTGATTTGCTCAAAGAATTCTCTGGAAGTGGCTAAATGCCCACCAAATACACGGATTTGGGCTAGCTTCCTGCAAATTTCCTCCAGCTGATTTCTTAGAGCGTGCCTAGTCCCTCACCAGCTACTTGTTTGTGCAAGGGGGGGATTTTACCGGCCCACAAATTGAGATGTTGGGGGGAGGGCTCGGCGGCAGTGTGCCTCGGCTGGTGACATCCACGCAGGACCACTGTAGCCTCAGGTCAAGCACCAGCAATAGTCACGTCCCATGAACTTTTTTGGCAGGCTCAGGTCAAGCACCACTAGCAGTCACGTGCACCCATACACAACTCTGGCAGCATACACTGAGCACGTATACAGCTTGGCCAGATTGGCACGGAGTTGGATTGGTGACAAGGGACTTCTTGGACCTTTGTCAAATCGGATCCCTGTCCTTTCGCGAAGAACGTAGGCTCGTTTCGAGGGGTCGGATCCAAACACGCGTAGAACCTTGGTTTCGCCCAGACCTTTGAGCTCCAAACCGCCAGGTGCGTGACCCAAAAGAGCCGGTTGTAACCAGTTGTTTGGCAGGCAGCAGAAACCACCGCTTTTGACGTCCCTCGTGGGCCGGTAAACAAATCCGGCGGCTTCTTTGTTTGAGGGTGTAGGTGTGGTGTGAACTACACCCGGGATGCAGCCCCTTTCTATTTTTGAGGAGGCAGGCTGTGGGGACACCATCGGCTTTGCTTATTTGGGCGTTCTGTTTTTTTTTTTTTTTTTTTTTAATAACATGTGTTTTGCGTTGTTTGCAGTTTTTGCAGTTTTTGAGATGGAGCTATTTTGTGGTGTGAATCTCTTTTGTTTAAGGGAACGATCCACAAAATTGGGGGGACTATTCTGAACTAGGGTCCAAGTATTCGGCCAGTGCGGCTACGCGAGGCCGACCGGGCCTGGAGGTCTTTGTTGACAAGGTCCGCCTCTGGGGCGAGAAAAACGCGGCTTGGCTAGAGGCCTGTTTTCAAAGAAGGAAGCCAAGAGCAGGAGAAACCGGAATGTTACCCCTGGTCTAGCTGAGAGTCTACAATATCATTGATTTGTGGCTGTTTGGATCTTTGGACTTCAGCTTTTTGGCTAAACCATTTGATTTTTCATGCTGACCCACAGAAAGTGAATCACTTTTGGCAGGGTCGTTGCAGCACCAAGAGAAGAATCCTGTGATCATGGGGGCTGGGGGAGGAGGGAGGGGGGGAGGGAGCCCAAATAAGCCCTTAGTAAGCCCCCATACAAGGCCTTATTTGGGGCTTATTGGCCCGCCCTCCCTCAGTTAGACCCGGCCTCTCCCGTCCGTCAGATGGCATTTTTTCCCATACCCCCCCCTACACTTTTGAGCACTTTCTGAATACACCTATCAAATTACACCATTCAAAACCACCAAATTGAACAACCCTCTAAGTTAATCATTAGAAAAATAATGTTCTAATGATCAACTTCATTTTTTAGTCCAATTCACCACCATCAGCCTGATCAACTTTCTTTCTTCTCAAAGCTGGATTATACAAAGGCATTGTCATTTTGAGTTCTTGTATCCTCTCTTGACCTTCTTGAAAATATTTGTCCTTGAATTCTTGTGTAGGTGCTTCTTCAACTAATCGTTCATAATCTGCTTTCAAGTGTTTGAGTATATTATCTTGGTGACAACCTCCAACCAAATGGAAGTCCCAAATTTCTGGGTTCACTCTTCTTTCACAAACATGGCAATACAAATATCCATTATTCGCTGTTTTCTCTCTACGCTTCTGATTAATTTCCTCGCGATTTGCTTCAAGATACTGTTTCCGGTATTCTTTCCTCTTGTCTACAGTTCGTTTGTTGTAGTCTCGTTTTTGATCAGTGCATTTATCACAGTTTTTGAGTCCATACACGAAACTATCTTCACCTTTCTCATATCTACATCTTGAACACAGCTTTTTCTCCATACTATAGTAGGACACCTTGCCTTTAGATGGCTACAACCCTATTTTCAACAAATTATCACTCCCCGAAAAATGGTTAACCAATGGAAAAGGGAGAATTAAAACCGTTAACCCAAATCTTGAAAACAATCCCAGTAAAATATGGATGGCAAAATGCGGATCGGGAAAGGCCTATGTAGGAAAGCACCCCCACGGCTTATATGGGAAAATTAAACTATAATTATAACATATAAACATTTATATGTTATTATTATATTATGATTACAATTTCAGTACAGGATAATAATTTAATTGACAAATATTACTTCTTTCATACATCATTTTAAAAATAATATTAATATCTCTCACTGTATTTTTAACATTAAACTTTTTATAAATTTCAATATAAAATTTAATATATTCTTTAATATCTTGTCCTTTCTTTTGACTATGACACAACATCAATAATATATCAGCAATCATTACATATTTTTCTTACTGATTTTAAGAAACTGTTTAACATATTCATAAGGTGGTATTTTATTTACAGTTAAAAATATCAAAATGTCATCTTCTACATTTCTATTATGTCTTATTTTTTTTCTCAACACACAATTGATTATAGCTTGGTTATCTCTCCAGGTTTTACAATTTTCGCATATATCTTCTTCATCCATTGAATAATTAATAATAATATTCACTATTTCAATAGGCAAATTTAATTTATACAATTCCATATTTTCTTTTTTGAAGTGACAACAATCATAGCATTTTTTATTGATATAATTATTGATTTTATCATCGTTCATTTTCCTCTTATTATATTAAGGTAATATTTCTTTAAATACATTTTCAGGGAAACTTTTAAATCAAGCGAATTATAATTACAACATATAAGATCTTACATGTTGTAAGTATAGCAAAACTATGGTATCAAAGGCTTTAATCTATGTATTTCCAGGGGTTGTATTCGTTTCTTCTGTTCCTTCCTTAACTCTTTTGTTGCTTTTACTTTGTCTCTGCATTCCTTACATGTTTTGTAAAATATCTCTTCCATTTTAATTCTGTCATACATTTTGTGAAAGTCCTTTCTTGGCTTTGCTTCGTCGCATTTACTGCAAGGATAAACCATTGTGCATCCTGCTTCTTCTTCATCATCTGTAGAACTCATAATATTAGTTATGCCAATATGTCTTTAAACGGATTTTCAGAGAAAAATGTTTTCAATCAAGAATAAACCCCTGTATCTTCATCATAGTCAATTTGATAAAATGTCATAGTGGAAGACTTCGGTTCTTTAATTTCTTTGTTATTAAGTTTGTTTAAATAAATATTTCTTTTATTTTTATATTCACCATTGGTTCTATCTACTTCTTTACTTTGATAATTGTTTGTTAATGGTCTCTTCTTTTCCATTTCTTGTAAGATTTCTAAAATATTCTTATTCTGTTCTAAAACCTTGTTCAGTTTTTTAACCATCTTTTCTAATCCTTCATCCATGTAAATATATATATTATAATATAAAATAAAACTTTTAAAACTAAATGTTTAAATTATGTTAAATCTACTCTTTAAATACTAATTTTTCATCATTTGTTTAACAGTTTCATGTGTTTCCTTATCGCCATTCTCGGATGGAGTAACTCCCCTCCCAAAGCGAATAGCAATATTATGAACATCTGTTTCTAAATTTATACTGTCTTTAGTTTTATCAATATTCATTTTCTTATCATTTTTACTTATTTTGAAACTTGTTGGAATACACGAACATTTACAGTTTCCTTTCTTTTGTATTTCTAATTCATTTTTCATTTCTAAGATTTTTTTACACATTGGACAAGCAAACTCAATAACTGATGTCTCTTTAACAACTTCTTCTTTTTCTTCATCAGTTGAAGAAACAACTGGTTCAGTCTTAATCTTTTTCTTTCTTCCCATTTATATTAATATTTACATTTTTATTTTTGATATATTGTATCACAAACTTAATTAATTCTAAAATAAAATAAAATATTTTTTTACATCTATTATCAGTTATAACAACTTGTTCTATATTCTCTACTTCATCTATTATATTGATATAATCTGAATAGCTTCTATTCATATAAAATAATCAATATAAAATATTTTCTAAATAACTTTAATATTATTTTATTATGTCAGATGTTCCAATAATAAAGCCAATAAACATAACTGAATATGAATTCAAACAATCTAAATATGAGCACGTGCCAAAATTACCATTTAGAAGTATTATAGTTGCTTCTTCGACAGGTGGCAAAACAGTATTGGTTCAGAACCTTATCTTAAATGTTTATAGAAATTCATTTGCAAGAATATTTATATTTTCCCCCAGCGTTCATAATGACCCAACCTTTACAGAAGTTAAAAAATATATCAGGGATGAATTGCACGTGGATGATGAAAAAGAACAAATTTATTTTGATAATTATAATCCAAGTGATTTAGAAAATGTAATTGAAAGACAGAAGAAAATAATTAATTATATGAAATCTAAAAAGATAAAGAAACTGCATTCAATATTAATCGTTATAGATGACCACGCAGACGATCCTAAATTTGTTAGATATAGTAAATTATTACATGGATTATTTACAAGAGGTAGGCACGATGCAGTAAGCGTAATTTGTTCAACACAGAAATATAATGTGTTGGCGCCTATCATTCGTTTAAATGCCAGTTCATTATATATTTTTAGGTTGAAAAATGCCAGTGAATTAATGAGTTTTATTGAAGAAAATAGCGCCATTGTTGACAAACAGCAATTATTAGATATGTATCATCAAGCAGTGAATGACGCACCTTATAGTTTCTTCTACGTGAATATGAATGCTAAGAATGTGAATGACATGTTTTTTCTCCGTTTTGAACAGGCATTTCAAATTACAAATGATGAATAAAGATATTCTAATTTAATATAATATAATAATATGCTAATGAAACTATGTAGATGTGGTGGATTTTATCGTAGAGGTAATTACAATTTTCATACTAATTCTTGGATACATAAACTTTATAAAGTGTTAAAAAGACGACCAACAGACGAGGAATTATTAAGATTTCAAAATAATTTTGTTGATGAAGAAGATTTAATAGATGATATGTGTAGCAACGCCTCAACAAAATTACCCGAAAGTGAAATGACAGATTATGATAGTAATTAATAATATTAATGTATGTTAATATTATCAATTTAGAATAAAGAATAGCTACATAAATTTAAGGCAGGAAATTTATAATATGTTTTATCTTTTTTACATTCATTAACTTTTTCTAATTTATTTATTATTGCTTTCAATGAATTTATTTGTAGAATATCAATTCTTGACATTTCACTTATCGTATTTACATCTATATCTTTTATTACTTTAATAGCCTCTTCATCATCAATTTCTACTGGTTTTGATTTACTTGAACCCATTATATATAATATTATTTAGATTTTAATTTTTCAAAATTATATTTTTGTTTTTCTTCTCCGTCTTCTTCTTCTTCGTCTTCAGTTGGTGCTGGTATTTCTGTTGGACTTTCAGATGAAGAACTATGAACAGTAATAGGTGGCGAACTATGAACACTAATAGCTTCATTTGATGAACTGCTACTGCTACCTTGTGCATTTCCTGCTGTTATTTGATTAACTAAATCTGCGATATTTATTGTTGTTGCAATTGCGCTATGTGATAAGTTTAATATTATATCTGCTACTGTAGCGCCGTTGTGTAGCATTACTTCTATCATTTTTGTCAGTTTGAATCTTTTTTCTTCTTCATCGCTGTCCTCCTCGTCTGGTGGTTTCTTTGGTGGTGGTTCTGGCGGTTTGTTGTTGTCAAGCATTGTAGTAAAGGCTGACACCATTGTGTCGCGTTGGTTTTTCAGTGTTTGTGTTGCTTGTGTTCTTGTTGGCTCATGTCTTTTGTATGTGTTGTGCCAAAAGTTTTTAAGCATTATTTTAAACATATTGTCTTGGTTTTCCTTTACCTTAAACGCTTCAAATGTCATATTTAATTGCTGATTTGCATCAT